CACATTCATTGATAATTGTTGTCCGAAAAGTCTTTCATGAGATAAATTGCCCGAGTTGCTCTGACTTATTCTACTGCATTTTTGGCCTTCTTCGAGCTTGAATAAACAAACGGATTATTTGTAAAATTTTTTCATCATAATCCACGTTTGTTAAACATTAGGATAAAAGAGATGTAGGAAGAATACATTCCTACAACAAGTGGGGAAAATTCCAATTTGGTTGTGCCACTTCTTATGTATGTTCATATGAATTTGCTTCAGCCAGCTGCTGGTATAACCAACATTTTTGGTGATTGCCATCAACTGATAGTGATTTTTCAAAAAAAAAAAAAAACAAAAAAAAAAAAAAACTTTTGAAACGCATAAAAAGGTATTTAAAATATGTATAATTCATTAACTGTTTTGGTTGAAAATTAACACTCAACTTTTTTCAATTTTCTCATTGTGAACTGCTGCATACACGCTGCAATGATCTTAAAGTACTTGCGTAAGTGCAAATTAAACCCTCTCCTCCTTAACTCCTCCTCCTCCTGTTCTACACTCGCACATTTCCGATTTCTCTCGGGCAGCACGAACGCTTAACCAATGAGCCACAATTGAGGCGTTTCGTTAGCTGCTCGAAGAACCCATCCCAGACTTGATGACTGCGTAAAAAATTGCATTGAAGCTACGATCTAAGCTAATATATTATACATATATACATAAATATATATACATATACATATGTATGTAAATGATGTATGTATAAGTATTTTTTCATAAAATGAATATAAATTAAATAGAAAAAAGAACTAGTTTGGTTATACATACATACATACATATGAGTACATGGAATATGTATGTATGAAGGATACACGCACACACAAAAACACCGATAATATTTATACTTAAGACAGTTGCGCTCTCGCTAGCCGATTGCGCACAAAACGGCCGAGAAATAAATGTAATCACGAGGGAAAGAAAAAAAAAATAAATATTTATAGGTAACCTCCTTGAGTAAAACCACACACACTGATGGAAACTTTAATATTACAAACAAAAAAAAAAAATAAATAAATAATCACTAAATAATTGTAATTGTAATTATAATGCTAATAAATCTATGCGATTTCAAAAATTCTTGGAATCAAAGAAGAGAATCTGTCATGTGTAAAAATGTGTATATGCCAGTGAGAGAGGTAAACCCAAAACAAGGTCCCGCAGCGAAATTTAAAACCATAAAAACACCGCCCAAATATTGAAGCCATTGCTTTTGAGTAACCCGTAAAAAAGTATTACGTAAAAAAGTTCTGCGATAATAAAAATGAAAATCACTCATACACAGCAAGGGCTGAGCATCAAGCAACAGGGATGAGTTGAGCAAGCTGAGTTGATGTTATGCTCTTAAGCTGAGCTGCCTTGAAGATTGTTAGCGTGAAAAAAATTCGGCAAAACTACAAACAGTACGCCTGGCGGAACTAAGAACCGCGTGCCGTCGCAGGTTAATCAACTTTTTGCATACCACCACCATCAAACTAACTCAACTTCGAATTCAACTCCCTCTCTCTCTCTTGAAACAGCTAGTTTCCTGAGTTGTTTGATGATGTTGACCTTAAATACATACGTGTATTGACACATAGCATTGTTTGCCTCTAAGCGGCGATAAGGACGCCCTACTACAACAACAACAAGCATGCGAATTGGGCCTATTAAATTGCGCTCTCACAAAAATACTACATAATAAAAGTAATAAATGCATAAAAATGCATATGTATGTACTATGTAATTATAGAAAAAAATAATTAAGTAAATAAATAAAAATGAAAGTAAAATGAAAATTGCTTTACAAATGTAAGTTGTATAAAAAGTATCGTTATAATAAAAATAATTTTTAATTTATTTATTTTTAACTTTTATTTTTTAATTTAACAGACGTAGCGTTTTTAATACAATAAAATTAGTTGCGATACAAGCAAACTTGGAAAATAATTATAATACAAAGAAATTAAATATAAATGCGAATTTTTCCAAAAAAAAAGCAAAAAAAAAAAAAACTCAAAATAAAAATAAATAAATAATAATTAAAAATAGTCAATAACGTCACTAGCAACTATTTATTCTTTAACAATACCTGTGTATATTTTTTACCCTTGGGAATTGATAATTAATATATAAATATACATATATACTATATGTGTATAACATTAAAAGGCGTAAAAATAAATAAAACAAAATACAAAAATAAAAGAAAAGCTGTAGCAGCGCAGAAATTGTCGACTAAGTAATGGAAATACAAATTAAGTAAAAAATTAAAAAAAAAATTGTATTAGATAATTAAAAAAATTATCTATGTACACTTATTATTATAAAAATAATATGAATAACTTAAAATGTAAATTTTTTCATTGAAAAGTGCGAAGGAGTAGATGGGGTGGGGTGGGATAATTTTCAGATTTTTCCAAGGATTGTTCAAAAAAAAAAAGCACGCTTTGTTCATACAATTTTCCCCGTCCAAAACAGTCTCTCTCTCGTCTTCAAAAAGGTCTGCCGATCTATCCTAACAACAGTGAAACAAATGCGTGGCATATCCAGAAAGAAAGTGGACTGAGGCTCCCAGACTTATTCGCTTTGCAGCGAGATCGTTTTAGCGTTAATCCGTTGAGAGTTGCCGACCCGACAACTCCTTTGGTAAACTTTATCAATCCAATCTCTGGCCAAGTGCATAAACTTTCTGCGATATTTTCACAAACTATTGGATCACTACTACACGAAAGGGTCACATAAGCCCTTGGATATCGGATACTGTCCGCGAGATGGCGTTGGCGGGAAACTGCTCCGAGGAAGGCCCCTACCCCATCTGCATAGAGAGGAATGGCAACTATGTCGAAAAATGGATAAAATTATGTGGTAAAGTAACACGAGCAACATACAAAAATTTATATAGAAAATTAATTTAAATAAAAAATTAAGTAAAATTTTCCAATTGCGGTCACCCCTCGACAGGGAATATCAACCCCTCAGAGTGTAATTCTGACATGAAATGAAGGCTTCGCATAAATAAATCATCAGCCATTCAGAAGCGGATTATTATAAACTGTAGGTCTCTCCATTTATTAGAAACACATCAAGATACAAAACCGTTAATTGGAGGATGAGCTCGCCTGTAAGTCACTTCAGCGGTTACAAAGCGCCAATTAGTAGTAGTAGATTGTAACCTTTTTGGCTCGGCCTAAATTTCGTTAATTTTTCATAGCCTGTTCTTGAAGAATCTTCTTCTACTACTTATTTACTGGTGTATACACCGAGCTAACAATTTTGCACCATTCCATCAAGTACAACCAGGTCGTTCTCCACCTGATCTTTCCAATGGATTGGAGGTCTTCCTACAACTCTGCTTCCATCGGTGGGTACTGCATCGAATACTTTCTTATTCATCCGAACCGCTGAACTATGCCAACCAGCTCATCGTTCCATCGGCTGCGGTATTCGCCGATCCCAACTCGTAGAAGACCATTAATCTAACGCAAAACCTTGTTCTTGAAAACTCCTAACCCCGTGTCATCACTGCGTACTATGCAGCTGGACGGGAATTATGATCGACTTTTTAAGTTGTCTACCCATTCTTAAGTAGCACCTGTTAGCAAGTGTGATTCCGCATTGGTTTTCTATGCTGACATTATTGGGGTGAATGATAGACGAAATTACCTACGACCCCGAAGCTACAACTGGCTATGAGTCTAGGGATCTTATTCAGATTGAATCGAAAAGTAAAGTCCTCTCTCGACGAACCAAAACCAAATCCGACAAGTCCCTCATTACTCTCGTTGTGTTATATGGTTTATATGGTGCAGAAGCGTGACTGTCGACATCCGATGAGCCGGCCTTGGAAGTCTTCGAGAGAAAAGTTTTGCAAACCATAGCAAATACCGCAGACGATGGAATGATGAGCTTTACAAAATATATGATGACATTGTCAATAGATTAGTGGTTAGGGACCTGGTTTCACTTGGTATTCCCAAATGGCGCCGATCAGCGAAGATAAAGAACGGATGGCACGCTATAGTTGATTCGGCTATAATCGCTTAAGCGGCGTATATGTATAGGCTAAAAAAATTATTCAATCACTGTCGCACGAGACGGTTAACATTGCGTACCGCTACTCGGAAGGCCAGGGTTCGTGTTCTGGTTAGATCAACATCCAAAATTATAGAAAATTATTTTTTCTAATTGCGCTCGCAGAGATTTTCAAGCCCTCCTTTTGTAAGCCTGAAATAAGTGCTCGTCATAGAAATTTTTCCTCCGTTGAGAAGCGGCTTAGAGTAACCCGAAGATCCCTTCATTTTTGGGGAAAAGCATCAAGACGAACACCAAAGATTGTAGGAGGAGCTCGGTCATCATTACAGCGGTTACAAAGCGTCAATTATATATATTATATATATATATAGATTGATATTCTTATTTTTCTGCTACAAGCCTAACAAATGCTAGGTCATGTAGATATAATCACACTCTGCGATTGAGTAAGCCGACCTCATAACGTACTTCCAGCATTCCGGCATTGTAAGCCTTCGTGAAGAAAGAGCTTACGCGCTCTTTGCAAAGTCCGCAATGAACTTAATTGGGTTCTCAGGCGCTTAAGGTTTATAATCTACAATTGAGCCGATTTTTATAGATGAACCGATCGTGGAAGATAATCCAATTCTTTATGTTAGATTTATTCTACAACTTGGATGCATGCAAACTCTGCTTTTTGCAACATGGAGAGTTGCATCATAATCTCATCTTGTTTAAATAGTTCTCAATTTCACCCACACATCAACCAATCACATTTGGATTTCACAGAATTTCTACACGCGCCAGTGAGTAAACCGAATTCTCGGCTTGAAGTCATACTTGAAACTCAGTATTGTGATGTCTACGCTACGATAAAGAGCAATATTTGCCAGTATTAAAAACAAAATCATCATCAACAATAAAATATTATAAAAAAATAATAAAACGGATATTAGTAGGAATCTAGAATGTTCCGCAGCGGTCTGGAGGCGGCTCTGAAAAGATGCTCTTGTTATTCGTCAGCGTCCGAAGAGAGTTTGGAGGACGACTTTATTAAAGTAAAGATTGATGAGGATTTAGAAAAATACTACAAGGAGCTGAACAAAGCCACCAAATTACTGTTATTGGGTAAGTAACTAAGCGCCAATGTTGAGATATTGAAAAAAGAAAAAAAAATTTTATTTCCAAAATCGAAATTAAGTCCGCCCCGACTGTGTAGTTTAGTCCATATAATTGGATGAGGAACCTATTAATTCTTTTGATGATGGAGCGCATACCATCATACATATGTATTTTACTTAAATGTGGTAATATTAGGGCAGCCCGAAAATTTGCTTTAAAACTCCTTAAAAATGGTTAAAAAATATAAAAAAAAATGATTATTTAGCATTTGCGACGAAATTCGACAAAACTCGCACTGTATCGCTGAAGGTCACAGTGCGATGATATGCTCGTACGCGTTCTCTTACAAGTCTGAGCGGTTATCCAATCAATAATCACGTAGCATTTCTAGACACCTCGTGGTTGGTAGAAAAGAAAAGATGGCGTTTCGCCTACCACACAAAGTGATTTTCGGCAGTTGAGTTCATCCAGCGGATTTACCAGTAAAACACAATTTGTTATTTATTATTTTTGTTTCGAAAAATTTTTGTTTGTTTTTTGATTACCCTAATGTGATTATAATTGCGGTTGTTTATTTATGGCGTGGAACTCCTCGCGACGAAGAAAGTGATTCATATTAAAAAATATTTACACATTTTGATAAGAATGGGAAACAAAACTTATTTCACGCATGGAAACATTTATATATACATATGTATACATATATGCACTAACAATGTGCTAAGCAGCAGGCAGGAATTTTTCAAATAAATCCGGAAGCACTCGCTTTCTAAAGACACACTCACCCCTGTTGTTGTTGTAACCGCAAAATTATTCCCCAAAGTACTTTTTGGGGAATGTTGCGGGAGTGACAGTCCTTGGCCGGTCGTTCCGGTATAAAGACCCGACTGTCACGGGAACTATTGGATTTTAGTCGCCTCTTACGACAGGCATGTCTTACCGCGGGTAAATTCTTGAGCCCCTAACCCGCGGGGGTACACACTCACCCCTCTTAGTTTTAGGTGGCTTCTGAGAGAAAAATGAGATTGGAACTTTTTAGTTTAGGCCACTCACTTGAGACCGTAGGACGTACATGGATATTTATAATACGAATATTCATTCGGAATGTGATACTATAATTCACCAAGCAATAATGATTTTCATAATTAACACAGGGTTATCATTTTCGTGATTTCAAAAGTACAGCGCTTTATGTTGACAACTGTTGAACCAAACATGTTTTGTTGTAGTCCAAACCCTACTACAAATAGAGGACAGACGCTCAATTACTCAAGCAATTGGTGAAAATTGAAGAGATTGGATCGCTACTGGAAGTGAAAGTCTAGCCGAGAAACCGAATGTGTCTATTACTCGATATTCTCTAGAGCTGGGACTTTCTTGCGGCACATTGGACTTACACCCACATCTGCATAAAATCCCGCTAACACAACAACTGCAGCTAGCTGACCATTCACAACGCCGCACATACATCGATTGGATGCTTGAACAACAAGCCAGGGACTGTGAATTTGCGAACAAAATTTTCTCCTCACTCGAGGGGCATTTGGGGCTCCGAGAATCCTCAAACTATGAAGCAGAAACTACCCTTGGCCTTAGTTGGTAGGGTTACGGGAATGACCGTGTTTTTGCGAATAAGCTTTCACTCTTAAGCACTGGAAAACCAACATTCATCAGGTTACGACTAAGATTCCGCGCAATATTTGCGTAAAAGTCATAAAAAAATTATTTTAAATGGATTTTATTTAGTTGCTTATTTTCGAAATCTCAAAATGGATAACCCTTTATATTGAAAATTTTAATCTCCCACTTGCGCAGTGCTCAGATTTGATTTGTTATTATTTTATGTTTTCAGGCACCGGTGAAGCTGGCAAATCCACCTTCTTCAAACAGCTTCACATTAATTACGGTGGCGGTTTCAGCGATGAGGCGCGGCAGGAATATAAGCGTGTCATATACCAAAATATTTTCATGGCCATGCAGTCAATGCTGGTTGCGATGGACGAGTTGAGAATATCATATGAAAAATCAGAACATGCGGTAAGCTTTTTTGATTTAAAGGGTGCTTTTTAGACATGTGGTTTTCAAGAAACGTATGTAGTTTAATGTTATGGCCAAGAATTTAGGTCTTTCATAAAAATAAGAGTATGCCATTATGTTTTAAAAATGATTTTAGGCAAGTGACCGCCTGGGTGGCTGGCTCGAACAAATTCCAGCCGAGAGCCACAGTTTTCGACCACTTTTTGCAGCAATCGAAGCCGTATGTCAAATAACGCCCTGGATATTATGTTCGAGGGCTTTAATAGTCTCTGTTTATCCGCTCGACAGGCTACTTCACATAACTCGCAAAAAAAAAAGTCCAGTGGTTTTAGCTCGTCCGATCTTGGCCACAGGTGGAGGACGCCAGTTAATGCGCTTACCAAAAGTTTCCTTCAATAAATTGATTGCTTCGTTGGCTGAATGGCATGTGGTGTCTTCTTGACGGAACGAAAGGTCTGCCACGTGAAAATCCTCTGATTCAGGCACGAGAAAAAACCACATCCAGAAAAAAAGCCGAGCAATACTCACTGAACTCAATTGATGTGATTTAAATGTTCAATTTTGCCATTTTTTTACGATAATCAGACTGATGTGTAAGTGTTATGACATTTTCATTGAGATAAGGAGGAATTCTCGATAGCAGCACTTTTCCGAAAAGTTTGGAAAGCTAATGCAACAGGCTGATTGGTCTAACAGCGACGTTTTCCATATTTAATATGACACTGGAAAGCTTTGCAAGGGAAAAGAGAGCAATGCTTGGCGGCTCTTTTAGCATTTTTTGGGCGATATAATGGTATTCGGGAGCTCTTTTTAGGTCTAAGACTGTTATAATATGTTTAAGTTCAAATACAGATGCTCCGCAAGGAGCTGTGCATCTTGAAAAACTAAGGCTGAGTAACAAAAGTGCGTTATCTGAAGCAGCATTTGGTTAGGATACCGATCAGAGATGGCCTGTGAACAAGTCACCTTTTTTTCTTTCAGGCTCATGAACCTTTACTCTGTCTCAAGGGTGCTTCAGTATTCACTGTCGGCTTAAGATTTTTCCTAGATTTCCAAGTCAATTTCTTGGTGGAAGCGTTTCTCAATCTCAAATCTCAATATAAACGAATACATAAATCTGTCGCGGATGACCCCTATACCCTAATATTTAAGAGGAGCATTCTTGCCTCGTCTTTTTTAACTTCTATCTTTGTGTGATTAGCACTGTGTACTATCAAGCGGAAGGTCATGGGTGTGAATCCCGGGCCGACCAGCATCCCAAATAATAGAAAATTAACTGCGATCGCCCTCGGTGGGGAGTGTCTACTCATGTAGTGTGTTTCTGACATGAAATGAAAGCTCCTAATAGAAGTCCACCGGCCGTTCGAATGCGGCTTAGAATAAAATCTTGTAAAAAATCAAGAGCCACACTACAAATTAGAGAAGGAGCTTGGCTGAAAATTGCTCCAACGGTTATAAAACGCCAATTATCCACATAAAAATAATATTCATCTTTTATCCTCCATAGATCTTGGCGAATAATATTTTGACTGTTAATGTTAATGCTGTAACGAGTTTGGATGCATCAGAATCGTCCGCCATAGAACGTCTCTGGACCGATAAGGGTATACAACAATGTTATGATCGACGAAGGGAATACCAGCTCATCGACTCCGCCAAATAGTAAGAACACAAATATATATATTTTTAACCTACGTACCTATTAAAATATGCTTTCATGTAGCTTTCTCGACAATTTGGATTGTTTCACCCAAAACGATTACGTGCCGAGTGATGATGACATCTTACGCTCGCGCGTTGTCACCACGGGCATCGTGGAGCATGTCTTCGATACACAGAGAAACCGAACAAAGCGTAATAGCACCAGACGGCTAATGCTACGGTAAGTTTAAAATTTCTTCAAATTCCGAAGAGAATATTGGATCTCCATTGTAATTTCGCAGAGTAATAGATGTTGGCGGCCAACGCTCTGAGCGTCGGAAATGGTTGCAGTGTTTTGATGATGTGACGGCTCTCATTTTTCTGACATCACTCTCAGAGTACGATCAGACGTTAAGCGAAGCCAAAGGTTTGGTAAGACATAAATATGTAACTCTTTTATACTTACTCCACATTACTTGGTCCTAGCCAAGCTTAGCTATTGTTTCAAACAATTTTCCACTAGTAAAAGTTCTCAACATTATAGAATCGTATGGAGGAGTCGAGAAATCTATTTCGTTTCATCTTATCATCGAGCTATTTTGAAAGAACTCCCATCATTTTATTCCTAAATAAACTAGATTTGCTCGAAGAGAAAATAATGACATCACATTTGGCGGACTACTACCCAGAGTACAAAGGTATGAAAAATAGTACAATATTTGTATACACGAAAGTTGTTAAAAAAAAAGCAACTCTTTACAGGTCCTAAACAAAACGCCGATAAAGCAAAAGACTTTATTTTCCAAATGTTTAAATGCTCAGTGGACAACGACAGAAAACTGTATAAGCATTACACATGTGCCACCGGTAAGTATGAGTGATTACGATCTAAGGCCTACATAAATATATGAGCCAAAAAGATTAACCAATTCTAAAATGCGGACGGTGCAGTGAGGAGGCTACAGATTGTCGGAACGCCGGCTTGAAGACCGTAACGGGAAGCCCACAGATGTCGATCTGCAATGTAAATTACCAGACTTGTATGATCTCAGTGTAGGAGCTTAAAAGCAATCATCTCTCTTTGAAGAAACAGACAGAGTTAACTTCTGTCGGTCAACTAATCAAACTCTTCTCTTTTTCGTATTCACGCATTCCTCACTCCTATTTTCAACTATCAGTATCACGATCGCTACATTGCAAGGTAGGCAGTTTTTTCTTTGTTTTTTCCTTCACTGCGGTACAATAATTTTCACCGTGCCAACTATTCGACGTAAAGGAAGCCATTGCCTTCGGCTGCATTGTAAGTTCACAGTTCCCTTATTCCAAGTTGCTGAGAATGAATCAGTTTGCCACTCTGTTGTGATTGCCACGTTTCGACGTCAAATCTTTCTTGTATTAAGATAGTAGTCCGAATCGATGTTAGATCCTCGAAGCGTACGCACGTCTAGAATACAACATAATCTCGCAAATGGCTCGCTCACATTTGCTGGTGGAGCCAGAAGCAGCATGTAAGAGGATGTTTACAATATAAAAAATATTACAAAATATGTAAAGATGTGATCAATTCGATAACTTCTATGGACTAAATTATGACCTGCGACAAAAACGAAACACTGTTGCATGCAAAAAAAAATCTTGGAGAGGGTTGTTTGTCTCGTTGATTAACAGGAAAAAATATTCATATTGGTTGGTCTTATTTGGTCCGCACTGCACACTGCACAATCCATACGCAAATGTATAGTAAATAATAATAATAAGATAAATCACTGTCTAGTTATATATTTCTACATATACTGTATACATTCACCCACAGATACAAAAACCTTTCGCATGGTACTTCTGGCAGTACAGAATACTATAATGGATCTTTACTTCGAATCTATTGGCATCAATTAAACTGCCGCTCTTGGGATAGTCGAATTTCATAAATGTTCTTGTTTGCAAGTAGAGTAGTTGTAATTAATTTTCAATATTTTATTTTAAGAAATGTATGCTATGTTTTTGTAATATTTTATCGTATTGTATTATACTCGCTTATAAAGTAGTTTAATATATTGTGTAATAAAAAATCAGTACTATTTTGAAAATATGAACGAGTACAATTTTTAAACCAACATAATAGTTTCGATTTGTATCACAAAGTCGGTGTTATTCTACATGTTGACAAAATAGCAAAGATTTCACGTAACAAAGTCATCGTAATATGGAAGATTTAATTAAATTATTCTCCCTCGATTTTCATCTATTATGTCTTATGTTTACTTGATTCTTAAGGCATACATACATAAAACTATTTCGGCATATATTGTATATTTAATAATTTCATGACAATTATTGGCTTTTTAAAAGCATGACTTAGTTTCTTCTCTTTTCTATTGTTAATAACAAATAAGGGACATTCAATTTACGTAAATAGAAGTATTCGTCTGTTTAGCAATTTCAATATATAGTTATACATATGATTAAGAAAAGTTTGTTGTTCCTTCATCACATGTGTGCTTGGTTGGTATTACATGACAACAAAATCGCTCAAATTCCGCTCTGGCTGTACCATACTGGCTGGCATTAACTGTACTATTTTATTGAAGAGAAAAGCGCGACATCTGCGCAGTTCTTCCTGCTGGCCGTCATGTGCTCGTTTGCTGCTATTACGACGACTATGTATGGAGGAGCTAGCAGAAGACACAGCCGAATCGGAGGCTCCGGAAAGGGAAGCTGTTGTTGCAGTGCTATCACATGATTCCATAGAAAATTGATCTTCAACGGGATTTATAACATCTGGTTGTGAACCAGATTTATTTGCCGATTCTAAATTAAATAAAAAGTTTCATTGAATTTTTTTTATCTTCTTAATGAAAATTATGTCCCACCTTCGTCGATTTGTCGTTTTTCATCTGCACCTGACGCGGCTTCGACATTTTCCACTTGAGCATCACTATCCATTTTTAGTGTCTTACCTAAAGGCGGTGTTGCCAATGGCGATCGACCTGATACGGTATTGCTATCGTCTGTACGAAAGAGCAATGATGCTAATTTGTGAAACTAAAAAAAAATCGAAACTATTTAGTTAATTTAACAAAATTCATTATCATGAGGGCCGTTACATTTTTCAGTTGCTCGGGATTCGAATGGTCAATAACCTCAGCGACGTGGTTCCGCAAATACTGCATTGCTTTAAGCGGATCTTTCCGCGTCATTTCTTTATAATGCAATTTCCGTACAAGATAACGGCAATACATTAATATTTCAATACGTTTGGGTCTATAATTTTTTTAAGCATTATATTATCAATACATTCAAATAACACTTTTTCATACTTTTCCAATTCAAGTATCCAAAAATCACTCAAACGCATTTGCGGTAGCGATGATTTACCGGGATTGCCGCCAAAAAGATAATGCATCTGCATCAAGCACAGTAAAACAACAAAAAAATAAAATAAAATTTCATATAAAATACAAATAACTGTAAATACGTCTCACCTTTGCCACATCATCAAAGATCAACTGGTGCGCATATCGTGGACATGGTTCGAGCAAATCATTTTTACCGGAAGCATTTGAGGATTCCGCATTGTGTCGGTATGTGTAAATACGCGACCAGTCGTAGGTTTTCAGCGAATACACCCAAAATGAATTTGACGCATCATCATGCTGAATATCACGACGATCCTTCAGTTTACTTAAACTTGAAAAAATATAAATTTCGTCGCGATCACAATCTATTGTGGCGCGCAACGTGTAACCTGGCGATGGCTCATTTTTCACGTCCGTGCCGCTGTTATGAGCGCAAACGCTACTCCCACCAGCGCCCCCACACGCATTATTGTCTTTATTAAGCACCGAAATGGCCTGGGTATCTACATCGTACGTGATAAAGTCGTCAATATCCTCTTTGCCGCGCTGACCACCATAAATATAGAGTTTACGGTTTTTCTATTAAATAGCATAGTTAAGTTATTAATATAAATAAAAAATAATAATTAAAATTTACAATCATAATATCTATATACCGTATGAAAGACCATGCAATGCGTGATGCGCGATTTTATCGAGAGCACATCTGCTTGTGCAGCACTTGGATGGTGACAGTCGACAAGTATCTGTGTCCAAGTGTTAGTGGCAATGTGATAGGAGAAAAGGCCCGAGTATTCTGGTTCACTTGAAGTGGAATTCGAAACACTTCGTGGCGTGAGTATTTTGCCACCAAACACATAAATATTACGCTTTTCGCTGTCAATGCACATCTGATGATCGTAGACAAGATGGGGACCACCCATTTGGCTGGTGTCATCACATATTTGCAGCCAGGTGCGCGCACGTGTATCATAAAGGAAGAAGTCACTCTATTGATAAATTAAAGTCAAAAATGTTTTAACGTTTAGGCGTTGCAAAATTTAAACTTCTTACTTTTATATAATCTGTGGTGCGAATCGAATTATCCAAATAACGGCCCAACATGAAAATATTTTCACTAACTGAATCATAGACCATTTTGTGACATGAACGTGGTGTGGGTCCGTTAAATAGCTGTGTTTGTTCGAAAAGCAATGCCCAGCTGCTGGTTTTTATGTCAAATACCCACAAGTCACTTAAATCACGGTAACCGTCCCAACCGCCGTACAAGTAGACCAGACGTTTTTTAGTGTCTACCACCAGTTGATGACCGCCGCGGTTACCTGAAAGTTATCATATCGACATTTCTTACTAAAACTTATTTGCACATACTAAACATGTATATATTGCACATATGATTGTTTGTAATAACTGACCTGGCGACAATTTGCTTGTGATTGGCTGCATACGCCAAGTATGCTTGTAATCTTGACGACTAAGGTATGTGTCCATTAGTCCATTATTTACACATTCAGTTATAAGTTGTTCCGCCTTTTCAAAATCACCATTTACAACCAAACACTTGTGCAGTTCGGTTATGAGTTTGTGCTCTAACTGTACATTAGTTTGTTCTTGTAGAGCTCGGAAGGCGGCATCGTAACCTTGTTGTCGGAAATGTTTTAGACATAATTTAACAATTTCTACCTCGCGAAGCTAGAGAACAGTGATAGATACATATGCCTAATTAAAATAATATCTAATGCGAATATTCTAAAAATCAAGTATTTAAATTAATTGAAAATTCCATAATAAAGTTTTATTTTACGCCATGGTGAAATCATGATATTAGGTATTAGATAGTGAATTCTGCTAAGATACAATAGAATACTACAATACTTACCACATTGTAGTTCCTTAAACTGGCACTGGTATACATAGGATCATCCTGTCCATGTAGTTCTATATACCAAATACTAAAATTGAATGTCGGCCCCCATGACAGCAATGGCACAACTTTCAAGAACAAAATTGGAAGTTCTTCGGAACCGTCTTCCGTTCTACAGCGCAAATTAAATACTTCTGGTACGTTGTCATCTTTCAGACCTCTAAATTTGTATTTGATAAATTATTTGTTGGTAAAAATAAATAGTATAATAGTTCGTTTTTTTACTCACCCTTCTAAGAGCAACACCATGCGCTCCTCATCGATACCTCCGAAAATACGAAACTTTTTTATATTGCAAACATGCGCCTTTTCAAATTTACCGAATTTTATCTTTTTAACAATGGCAGGACGCTTTAGTTTCAACGTAAGATATTGGGGTGGATTGTTGGTATGAGCTGACCAGCGTGAGGATTGGTCACTGGGGCAGTCTACGAGTATATTTCTAAAAAAAAAAAGACAAAAACAATTTTAAAATATGTATTAAATTTAATCAACTGATGTGCAAAGACCTTTTCGCCAATTTATATATGTACATACATGTGGATATGTGTATGTCTGTCACATATGAGTACATACGTACATATGTTAATTATCACCGACTGCGCAGTTGGCAGAGAAAAATTGAAACAACAAGCAAGTATGTATGTGTGTATATATTAGACTGCTTCACTTTTTTATTATTATTATTTTATTTTTGCATTTTAAATATTTTTCTATTTGCAAGCAAAAGATGATACGGAAAAATATTGTGAATTTCCCAAGCTGAAATATTTGTTAGTTAATATATCGTTGGAAAACATTTCAGAGAAGGCCAATTGCAAGAAAATTTCTACTAAAAGGTTGTTGTTGTTGTTGTTGTNGAGGTGTTGCTCCGTTGACGTACTTAGACTAAGGTTACCTGTAGACCTAAACGGGGTTAGGTCTCCGAAAGGGTGACAGCCCTTGGCCGGATAAAATCCGGGTCAACTCCGGTGCGTAGAACCGGCTGTCGTGAGAGTCGTCTACTAAAAGGTCGACCTGCCTAGTGCATATACGTATGCATATACATGTCTGTTTAAACATAAGTGCGTACATATGTACATACATAATAAATGCAGTATATTCATATAATCAAAGTTTAAAAACATTGGTAAAATCGCGCCCAAATACCAATTAAGCAGGTGCCTATCAATAAGCATACATACACATATACAATTGTAAATTGACTGTTGCCCTGCTGCTTCAATGCGCTACGGAATTTGTCAAATTTAAGTAAACTGAGCAAATAACTTGTAGGAAAGGCGAATCGGGCAGAACGGTGACTCCTATTATGCAAATGATATATTCTCATTACAGGTCGACATTCAATTGTATGTATGTAAATCGTTTTTATTTATAATTTGTTTTTCCGTTTAATTACTTACTCAGGGAAATAGTTGGTGGAGAAACTGGAGTAACGGTGAATTTCATAGGCGAGTTTCTCGACATCAGCAAGGGGTGCTATAACACTAATACCTGTTTTGGAATCTGTCGACATTACCACATTTAACGTTGTTGATAACTGCTCCATTATGAAGTACTAATGTGCAAATAACAGGTTCACCACACAAAAACCCAAATAATAACGTTCAAAGGTCCAGTTAAGAAATCTTTTTCGTGCAGTTTCCAAGCTTATTGGTTTTTATTTGAACCTAGCTCACACTGTACTGCTAATGAATTCAATGTTTAATTTTATAATGGACAAAACAAATATGCTATAACGGCTTCAAGAAGAACAAAGATTTTAGATTATAAACAATGCAAAATGTTTGCACGAAATCGTATTGTTTGTGCACAATATTGGTATAATTTTTCCTTTATGCTTTTCGTTCCTTTCTTTTATCAAACAGGTGATTACTCGCGAATAACATACAGCTTTGCATTTGGATACGTATCACGCAGTCTTAAGTTAAAAATGGTTTGATCATAAAATATAAGAAAATTTTGCAATAAGAGACGGATGGGAATTAATAATATTTTCTGTTAAGACAATGTAATAACTAAAGAGACTTTTAAAGGTATTTCACATGATTTAAAGATCTTTTGTAAGTACAGAAAATTAATCCCGATTCTCTCATAGGGACATTTTAAAAGATTGGCACTACTAATGTGTGTGTATTCATCAGAGAACGAATAAGCAGCGGAATAGGCGAAAAGAAAATCTGTGAATATATTAATTGCAAAAAATCTACGCCTGGCAAAATAAAGTGAAATCTTGTAATAAAAAACACAAAATCCTTCTACGCAGATTGTAAATCATTTAAAGAAGTGATATATATTCATCTCTCAAACTCACAATTGGAAGAAAACTTGTAAACCGAACCAAGTGTGAAGAAGTGGACGTAAAAGGAAGAAAATAGCCAACAACCCAGGGAGTAATATTGAAATAAAACATTTTCCAATTGGAATCATCTGTTTTATCTAATCTCGGAAATTTTTTCGGACTTCTCACAAGAAATATCAATAAGAAATGGTAATATTTTACATTATTTTCGAATTGGATTTATGGCAGCTAATATTTTTAAGTTCCTCATACAAATCGATGTGCATAAATATATATGTATAGTAACTAAGGTTATAGAGAGTTAAAATATAAAGTTCTGCTTTTTTGAAGCGGTTTAGATACAGACACGAATTAATAAGGGCTACTTTTTTGAACTTTGATAAAAATCTTTAAGTTTTACGATGTCTACAAGAGCTTTGCAAGGCCACAGGGGCAATAGTTTTGAACTACCTACCAAACAGTAGAAAGGTATAGCAGCCACCTGCAGAGCGCAAGTACAAACATAAACACACTCATATCATTCTCTGAACGTTTTTGTTAACATCGAGCTAGTTTCGCGTGAAACCGAATAAATAATATCAATTTTGGATAGTCGCAATTTTTTTTGGCAAATTAAATACGGGCAATTTGCCATCATAAAGCAATTTATATGATCATTAAATTACAATTTGTCGGTCTGATTATTTTAGTGCGGACATATGCACATTATTAATTAAATATCCGTATATTATTTAACGCGGATCAAAATAACTGTTAGAAATACAAAGTCAATATACCATAAAGTATAGGCGTGCAAATATAAAAATTACTTGTAACCACTAGGGGTTAATGCCTTTTATTTAACAATTGCCCCAGTTCTTTACACAATGCTAATTTTATTTATACAATTTTAAGAAAATACCTGTAGGAGTATTTAATTATTGTAAGAAGTTTATACTAATGAACGAGTAAAAGGTAGTTGGAATAATATTTGTTTGCATAGTTATGTATATAATGTGGTTGCACATATATAAATAAATATATTTTTATATAATAAATATATTTTTATTTATATACCTTATATAAAAATTTTGGGTAAGTTTTAATTTCCGAATTTAAAAAGTGTTCTTTCTTTTATTTCATTTTATATTATTTTTAGGGTAATGAAACATCCTTGCCCATGGAGATGTGCTCCAACTGTAAGTATCGCTAAATGGTATATTGAACCTTTAAAATGTTTTACATCTATAAATTTTCGTATTTTTAATCATTCTCTTTTGTTCATTATTAGTTGATGCCGATGAGATTCGGCGTTTGGGCAAACGTTTTCGTAAACTCGATTTGGATAACTCGGGCGCATTGAGTGTTGACGAATTCATGTCTTTGCCAGAACTCCAACAGAATCCCTTAGTACAGCGCGTCATCGATATATTTGATGCGGACGGTAATGGTGAAGTCGATTTCAAAGAGTTCATTCAAGGTGTATCACAGTTTAGTGTAAAAGGTGACAAACTATCAAAGCTACGTTTCGCCTTTCGCATTTACGACATGGATAACGATGGTTACATATCGAATGGCGAACTTTTCCAAGTAAGTCATAGTTGTATTAGAATCTTAGCTCATATAATAGGTAACACGTATTATTTGTTGTATTGTTGGTTTCTCATTATTGAGTGTTAGAGTTATGCCCAAATGATACATGCACCGAATATAACATTCACGTAATAAGCAAACTGTATTATACCAAAGTCTTTCAACATTCTAGGTTCTAAAAATGATGGTTGGCAACAATCTGAAAGATACACAATTACAACAAATTGTTGATAAAACTATTTGCTTCGCTGACAAAGATGAGGATGGCAAAATTTCTTTCGATGAATTTTGTTCCGTAGTCGGTAACACAGATATACACAAAAAAATGGTTGTAGACGTTTAAAGTCATTTTTGAAAACGATATAAATGCAACACTTTATATAAAATTATATATTTTATAAACATTTATTATTTTGGGATTTTATTGTTCTTATTATTTTTATTGTTATATCTCGAAAAAAAAACTGTACACACAATTCTTATCATAATCGTATTTTTAAATAGTTGTTCCGTTGAAAATGGGTTTTAAAGTTTTTTCAAGTATATTGATGTGTTTTTTCAAAATGTTTGCGTGCTCGCCAAACATTATGATTGCCTGAATACATGAAACAATATAGATAAATAAATATAGATATGAAGGCATTACAAAGGACACCATATAAAATAAAGCGTACTTTTAACTAAACACTCTTAAAATTAATACAAATCCAAGTGAAGGAAACAAAGAAATCGTTGCAAACTTGTTAAAAACAGTACGAATTAATTATTTATTTCAAACGATTAAAATCAAGTAAAAAATGATACATTAAACGCTGAAAATAAAAATGAATATGCTAAAATTAATGCAATATTGTAATATTATATATATATACATACATACTTAAATACACACATATATACATTAAGCCAAAAACACATCCATATGAATTGTATATTTAGTTGCATCTAGAGCAATAAAATGGTATAAGTATTCTAAGAAAATGTACAATATATTCATTTGCCAGATAAATTCAAGCAAAATAAAACAATTTGGAATCACATGTAATATCAATGTGATTTATTTGCTATTTATTGTAAAACAGTCCTTTATATGAAATAATCTCAAATCAATTATTATTTGAATAATACGTAGCTAGTCAAATACCACAAACAGATCTTTTAAAAACGCTAAATTAGTAAAATAACAGATACCATTGGTTCAAACTGTCATTGGTCAAAAATTGTATTTAAAAATCTTTATTATGGTTTTTTACGAGTTAAAATTATTTTAAAATGGAGCTGAATATTATAACTGATCATGAAATTAGAATTCTACTTGAAAATACTTTCCTTTGTGCCATAAAATCCGTTAATAATGAAAAAATGTATAAACAAGAATTTGTGTCGAGTCTCGCACAGCGAAAAACTAGAAAAACAGCTAATCAAATATTGAAAATATTTTAATACTAACCAAATTTTCGCCTAATTGTTTACATTTGGTTTATATTAATTTTTTTCAGTCTTTAGTTAAAACTTTTTGAGTTTTCGTGGTTTGTTATGCATAATTTTTATTCGTGTGCGTTTGAGAATATGATAACACTAACTATATATTTATTTTTTTTTTTTATCAAAACATGCACACTTTACAAAACCATCAAATTAGAGTAAAAATGAGTGGTTGAACAAAAATTATGGAAAAGTTACGCGACAAGCGTTTAAATCGAAAGTAACACAATCTCTTGCAATATTATATGAATATTATAAATATATAAATTTAAAAGCAAATGAAAAACATGAAAAACTTACTAAACATCTCTTTAGCTTTTGTTAAGTACTTTGTAGCGAATATATATAATAATATAAGCGCAAAATGGCAATTCGCATACACAGTTAAAATAAAGTCTTTTAATTAAAACTTATATGAAATGTAATTGCCATATTTTTTCTTAATGCAAATGGAATTAGATAAAATTATAATAAATTGTAGTAAATAATGAAATTTCTAAAGCTAAGAAATTATCAACATGTGTTAAAAACTCAAAATCTGCATGTCGCTTAAGATTTCAATTGGAATCATGTTGTAAAACACGTATTTGATTTTTTAATCCTTACTTAACATTTTATGTTTACAGATTGATATTCCCCTATTTATATGTAGGCGTGTGAAGTTCAACTTCATTTCGTTCGAATTTTTCTTTATTTTAAATCGAATTGATTGAATTTGCAAAATTGTATAAAAATAAAATTAAAAAAAAAATTAATATTCTATTGTAACCTTTTATTATTTTTCTTCTACAAAACTATTTCTGCCTTAACAGTATGAATCTTAAAATCAAACAATAAAAATTCACACCAATGTTAATTGACACATTTTAAGTGCGAGTGGTGGTATGAAAAGTAAAAGAAAAAAAAAAAAAATACCAGCATATAAAATTAACTTAAAACTGAATTATGCACATTGTAAAAGTACACAACATAATCTTTTTCTAATTAAACGTGGAAAAGGCACTTTAACTATTAATTATTAAAACAAAAAAGAAATAACTTAATAAAAGAATTGAAAAGAAAAGTAGATCGCAAAATTCATTTGGTCGGGAATCATCAGGAGTGGCACATTTTTCTTGACCGTGACGTATTTTCGAAACGTTTACCGTAATCTACTTAATGCAGACTGTTACATATTTATTTTTACGAATCTTATTTGAAATAGAAAATTTTAGACTTGGTCGGTATCATCATTGTACCACCCTAATACATGGTAATCTAAACACATGCCTATATATATAAAGCCTAAAGACCCAGTAGTAAAATGACAAAAGTTTTAAGGTAGTAATGAAAGCGAATTCTAAAAGGTGAGAGGAGGATAACAGATACAACAATCACCGTGTATTCTTTTTATTTTCTTTAGCGCACTGGCTGACAAAATCAAGCAAAATTAATTGGCTTATGAAAACACACAAACTCCTTGTGTCCAAAGAAATTCATTCAAACAAAACAATAACCAAAACATGATCAATAACCAAAACTTGAATTCGCTATCGTAGTAACTTCACCTTGTTAAATCTGTCCTTCCGCAGCCTTTGATTATTATTTCTCTTTTTGTCTATTCCTTTTTGAATTTCACTTCCTTGCAATTTGCAATTTTAAACTTTAATTGAAATTTTATTTAAATATGGAATATAAAAAACAGGTATGTATAATGCAATTGGGAAAGTTAAGCATTATATGCTTAACTGCATTGTCTTAAGATCATTGAATATATAAGTAAATTACACCGTCATCCATTTTAGTTGTAAAAATTTTAAGAACTATGTTGTGGGACAGATCTCTTGTCGGAGTTCTCCGGTACTGGATTTTACCTATGGTCCAATAGTAGAGAAGGGCGATGAATGCAATAATTTCTTAAAAAGTCAAAACGCTTTGTGCGAAATAAAATCGGCAGTGGCAGTCGGGGTGGGATGATCCCCTTTGAATCATATCTAAGATACAACGATGAATAACTGGATCTCAACGTATGTGAATTCTAAACCGCCTATCTTACTCGACTTGCTTATACTACGAGTATACATAAAATAATACCAGTTAGATTTTATGAGGTAAAAGTGTTTTTCATGTTTTTTTCTCCTTTGGAAGGAAAAATCTTATGACCAGACTTTTTTTCGATCTCCATTTTATATTTATTTTTTACAGTGTACTACTCAGCTGACTACTGACTTTTGTTCGTTCTTATCGATATATTGTTGTTATAACTTGTTTATTATTTTGAAAAATTTTAAACATCGCATAGGTTTACTATTTCACAATAAACTCAATGGAGCAGTAAGGATGGACGACTCAAAAGACCATGGTGGTAGCGTATTTTCTGTGCGCTTTGTCATAGCAGATTTTTATATGGAAAAGCCAATTTCTGGCTACGATCCGTGCTATTCCGAGTTTCGCGGGCGAGAAATTAAGAGGGTCAGTGACTACATTAAAATATGTTGGAAAATATATTTGAATTAGACATTTTACAGGTTCCCATAATTAGAATATTTGGTTCTAATGCAGATGGTAGGAAAACGTGCATGCATGTGCACGGCGTCTTTCCATATTTTTACATACCCTACGAGGCAAAAGAATTCGAATCACTGAATAAAGCAATCTACCAAATTAGCAGCAGTGTAGATAAGGCTATCAACATTTCTTTGGGACAAGCAAGCTCGAATGTGCAACATGTCTTCAAAGTGCAATTGGTGAAGGGCATGTATGATAAAGAATAGTTTGAAAGAAGAATTGTGGTATACCAATTTAAATATTTTAGCCCTTTCTATGGATATCATCGTGCAGAACATCAATTTTTGAAAATTTATATGTTCAATCCACGATTCGTAAGGCGCGCATCGAATTTGTTACAAAGTGGCGCCGTAATGAATAAGAACTTTCAGCCTTACGAATGCCATGTTCCGTATATATTACAATTTATGATCGATTACAATTTGTATGGCATGAGTTTTGTATATTTACCTTTAGATGTCGTAAAATTTCGTCAAGCCAATGAAAGTCCTGTTGGTGAGTAAAAAAATTATATAAGTTTTATTTATTTTTTGCTAAAATTCTACAAGTACTTTCCTTTAGTTGAGGCTAGCGTTACCAACGAAAAAGAAGAATATATTTCAAACCAAACGATTGCTAAAAAACAAACAACTTGCGAACTTGAGGTGGATATAGGCTCAAACTTTATATTAAACCGTTTCCAGCTGGCAATGCGCGGTAATAACACTGCAACTCATTCGAATCCAGGTATCGAGGCTATTTGGAATGATGAGCGTTTGCGGCGACAGAAAATGGCCCAAAGACCAGATGTGGAAAAGGTAAACTTATAGTAAGACTTTCGCTAAAAAGGTAACATATTGACATGATTTGCAAGGTGCCTGATTTAGAACTGCCGGCCACTCAAGAGCGGAGTAATGTGCAGTCAACGGAGAGTGAAATATTTCATAGAACAGTGTTGCAAAGTAAATTGCTGGCTATAGAATTATCATCAAATGGTAGTGGCAGTCAAGTTGATCAATCCTTAAATTTTACACTACAAACAAGCTCTGCTAATTTCACCCTGGAAAATACAGCTGAAAAAGACCAGGTAAAATTAACACTACAGCTCAGAGCTATTATCTAAAAATAATAACTATCTAAAATTGAGTTCAGTTACAATTTAAAATTTTACTTAGAGTCACACATTCAATCTTCGAAAAATAATTGGTAATGCAGTTTATCCGGAAGAGTGCTCACCAGATGAAAACATTGTTGACGCTTCCTTTATTGAGAACCACCTGTCACAAAATGATTTTCTTCGTAGTAGTTCTTTAGTGCTTTCTACAAACACTCCACAAGAAAAGAACATAACTAATGATCGAGGCGATAGTATATTTTTAGATGAAACCATCCTGGATGAAGAACTTTTATTGAGTTCAAAAACGAAATCACCAAATAAAATAAATGCCAGTCGTAAGAGTAGAATATTAAATAACTGAGAAAATCTGAAAAATATACATGCTTTTTTTCAATTTAGTTTGCGCGGAAGACGAGGAATTGCTTGATATTTTACAGCAGTTGGAAGAGCAAGAGGAAAATGGCTGTCAAATTGATTTGGACAGTACACTTGCACCACTAACTCAGGCACATAAAAAATGTAATATAAATATATAGATTGTTTATGAAATGTTGAAGGTGCAATAAAAACTTTTCAGGAGCAAACATTTTTTTAACCAGAAAGACTTAGAGATAAAAATAAATACTTTCGAAAGGATGTTAGTTAGGACTTATACCTTATTTATACATTTCATGGATATTATTAATTTTTGTATGAACTATGTAAATATTTAAACCGATTTGTCGTTAGTTGATCCATCGCCAGATTTGCTGGACAAGCAAGTGAAGTCTGCAGCTTTAAGTCAACCAATGCCGGAAAGTGATTCCGATTCAGATACATGTGATAACGGCAATCTTCATGATTTCTCCATTGTTTTGGAGGACTTGGATGAATTTATATTAAAATTCACGCCTACCCAACCAACAGAAGAAAATGATGGTAAAACAGATCTACCGCAAATGGACGGCTCAGACGATTTGTTGCCGAAAACTCCGACTAAGTCTGGACATTTTCCAAAATCGGAAATAAATAGAAATAGAGTAACGTCGCCACGCACTCCTGGAACATCTGGTACCAACATTTCACCAAAGCGTTCACCAAGAACGCCAAAGTCCAGTGCAAGCAAAAAATATGCGCCGTTACCGCTGAAAATCACTTGTAAAAAACAAGAAAGTACGTTTTCTAATGAGTTTAATTCATTTCTATCTACTAAGCTTACCTGTTTAAAAATATTTTAATAGAGAGCACACCTCATATTAATGAAATAACACCAATGCGAAATTCAGCTTTGAGAAATTTAGATCTCGGTTCCAGCAACACGCGAAGGTTAGTACCCGATATTGTAAATTTTTTAAATGCTGAATAAACTTTTAAAGAAATTTTCAGTACAAAAATGTCGTTAAGTAAAAAATTGGCATTAACCGCATTGCGGCGAAAGAGTGTTGAATGGAGTCCAAGCACTTTGAACGAAAAAATATTGATTTCCACAAAATCGGCCGAGAAAACCAAAGAGAAACGGTAAGACCTTTCATTCCCGGTATTTCGAATATAATTCATTTATGAATTTATTTTCAGCACACCTCTACGCCGCTCAAGAAGAACAGCGGACTTAGAAACAACACATATTACGTGTGAACTTACGCCTCGTAGAAAGAGCGGAAGGATATTAAAGGTTTACAGCATTGAAGAGAAAGAAAAAGAAGCAACTGATCGGAATAAGAAAACTGAGCATGGCGCATCAACTCTTGCTTCGATCAATCAAATCGCTAGCAAAGACGAAGGATCTTTGAATAAAGAAATTGATTTCCAATGTGGCAAAAAAGTTCACATAGAGGCGAAAAATACTACGAGAGATCATCAACCGGCAGTTTCCAAGACTATCTTGAAAAGTCAAGAACCAAAAACTCGAAAATGTGTAGTAAAAATTAGCAAGAAATCAATGTCAAGCAGGGGCGCCAATTGTCTAAAAGCATACGAATCAACAAGCAAACAAACTGGCAATAGAGATAAAAGTCCTACTGCAGCAAGTAAGGAAGAGAACCCTACAGAAGAGGAAAGCAATGGTGAAATTGATTCAAATCGTCAAGGCAATTTAACGGAAATGCCCCAAATATCGAGCAACAATAACTCAATCGCAGATCCTGACTCAAGTGAAAGTGATGAAATTGCAGCCTCAGACACCGAAGATGCCTCTACTACTATTTCTGCAAAACGTCAGCGCCGCAGTTTTCATTTAATGCAACACAAGAGACCACTAAAAATTTTCAACACTCAAACGCAGAACTCAAATGGTCCAACTGCCAACGCAATCGAGCCCGATAAATCACCAAAAGAAGCTCTAAATATTGCGGATGATGATTGTGCGGACTTAGATGATTTGCATATACAAAGTTTTTATGACGCTTCATTCACGGAAGGCCTAAGCAGTCCACTAAATCGTGATGATAATCCGAGTCCAATCGCGATTAGCAATCAGCAAGATGTTCTTTCTGCACAATTAATTACAGAAGACTCCAATGGTTCGGTTCGGTGTTTTCAATCGCTCGGTAGGCCGCAAAATTCACATACCGAAGCCATTTTAAGTACAAAAAGTAATATATCAACTCCGAATTCTGAGTCTGCATCATCTTCGTCTAACGGTATAGTACAAATAACACCATTCAACCTGCCACCCACTTATGACGAAGTTTTGGCGAGTTGTGTAAAACTCGATATTCCCGAGTACGAATTTCAAAAGCCTTTCTATGGAAATCCGTGTGATGTAACCCGAATGAAGGAAGTGGGACATATTGTTTTACAGATTCCAGGTAACTGACTTTGTTTTGTAATTGATTTCCAGATCAAGTTTTTAATTGGTTCATACTCAAGTTCACCTCATAGTTAGTAAAGCTCCTCATAGTTAAGAGTTGAAAGCAAAAATAGATTATTATGAAATGGGATTATTTTAACTTATTGTTATGGCTCCAATCATGTGGGCCAACCAATCAAGTTGATCTTTTTCATTCAACCTAAGTTTTAGGGATATTTAATTTCATCAATCAGCCCAGCTTCCACAAAGTACACAGTACCACCATCCCTCTAAACGCCATAAGTAGCCACGTAAATCGTAGCCGTGCCCAAACCGACCCGAGCAATGGGCTGGCTGAAAGCATTTTATCATACATTGGAGCTTCTCAATACCGTTAGGGTAAGAGATTGATTTATAATTATCCCAATTGTCGACGAATGTCAAAAGAATGAAGATTTCGAAAAATCCCCAATGAGAACGCTACCGACTTAGTATTGACGACCTTGACAGGTCTAATAATTTCGCCTGTCTACTCTTTTGGTGCTCCTTGTTAAGAAGCAGAATATATGTTTTCTTGGGCTGCTACCGACGAGATCAGACCCCCTTGGGTTCAAATATTATAAATTAATTTTATTCAGCATATATGTACTTTTTGAACCCTAGGAAATACACTCAATGACTGTGAAGAATTCCAAAGTGTGCTGGGCAATGAAATGAACGGTCTAACAGAGTGGCGCAGACGGAAAATGTTGGCTATTAGTGGTAATTCAGAACTCATCACACCATCGCAACGCAATGCTCAACGGATCCGAGAGTGTTTTGCCGAACCAAAGCGAATTACGATAACACCCCAAATATGCCCTCCGACACGCCATGAAGCCAAGTTGTGGCTAAAGGCGCGCCAGCTCTTGGGCAATGGTGAGGCATGTAGCGCGCAACGTAAAGTGAATTTAGATGAAAGCCCCATAAAAGTGAGGCGTCAAAAGACCACGATGATACTGAATGACGGTGCCATCTGTGATAATGATGACGACGCGCTGGACAACTCTAATTACCTAACACTAACGCCACCCACACCGATAGTTAATACGAAGCCCGCAACGGCAACCAAGAAAGGTGAACTAGAAAATACCAATAAAAATGCAATTGAGCGAGTGAAGTCCCGCACAAAACGTGCAAAACTTTCATTGAATAAGAAACTAAAAGCCTGTGCCAGCCCACAGAGTACCTGGGTGTTAAACGATGATACCTTGCCTCCATCTCAGCTTGAAAAAACTGCACAAATAGACGGCAGTGGTAAAATTATGACATCCAACGACTCGACCGTATCAAGTGAAGCCGCACTAGATGCCCTGAAACGTAGCTCCTTTATTAAAAACTTACATGGCAAGGCATCTCCGTTCTCACATGAACTTAGTTTTGGACTGAACACGGCTTCGTTGAATAACACCTTCGGTTTTAAGGTGAATTTGGAGAATCTGCAACAAGCCAAATCCGATGTTGAGGTATAACTCCGCTAAAATAATATTCTTTCATAATTTGCCATTCACCAGCCTAAGCTTTCATGTACTTATAGTGTAATTATTTAACAACTATTGTACTGGAGTTATTTGTACCCACACGGGGCAATCTGTTGCCCGATCCTGCGTTCGATGAAGTGCGTTGTCTTTTCTATGCCATCGAACATCGCTCACCAGCAGGGGCTGCAGAAGATGCTAAAGGCTTGCCACAAAATGCTTGCGGATGCATTATTGTAAAGGACAGTGATGATGGAAGTGCTCAAGAGGATTGCCGCATGTTTGGAACGGGTGGCCACGATGATATTGGCTTACGTTTCGTGCACACTGAAATCGAAGCGTTCGAGGTACTCGTGGAGTTGAGTAAGCATTGGGATCCTGATATCTACGGTGGTTATGAAATTGAGACTGCATCTTGGGGTTATATACTGGAGCGTGCGAAACAACTCGGCTTCAATATGGCGCCTCTGCTCTCACGTGTGCCGTCGCAAAAAGTGCGTGAGTATGTCGATGAGGACCGTGAGCATTTTACTGATTTGGATATCGAGGTAAGTACTCTATTACCTGCAAAGGTTACAATGGTAATTTACTGCAGCCAATTGTCGCAATTGTCGTTGTAGTTAAAGCTTTGTGGTCGCATACTTTTGGATGTCTGGCGTTTGATGCGTTCGGAAATCGCGCTCACCTCCTACACCTTCGAAAATGTTATGTACCATATTCTACATAAACGCTGTCCCGCACACAGTCATCAAGCACTCACTGCGTGGTTCGAGGTACCCTACACACGTTGGATTGTGATTGAGTATTACATTGAGCGGGTGCGGGGCACGCTTGCGCTACTGGAGCAGCTGGATCTGATTGGCCGTACCAGCGAAATGGCAAAGTTAATAGGCATTCAATTCTATGAAGTTCTCTCACGTGGCTCCCAATTTCGTGTGGAAAGTATGATGTTGAGGTATGGCGTTGGCAGAGTTAGTTATTATTCTAAGGATTTCTTAGAAAGTCAAAGTAAAAACTTTACTTGTATGTCCATACCTGTTCTCTCCTTAGAATAGCCAAGCCGCGCAATCTGGTTCCTGTTTCGCCGAGCGTTCAACAGCGCGCACATATGCGTGCCCCCGAATATTTACCGCTTATTTTAGAACCGCAGTCGCGTTTCTATTCTGACCCCGTTATAGTACTGGATTTCCAAAGTCTGTACCCGAGCATGATCATAGCCTACAACTACTGTTTTTCTACTTGCTTGGGGCGTGTAGAGCATTTGGGACAGTTAGTATTGCATTTAGTACAAATAAATATAAATACTTTTTTCAATAAAAGTTCATATTTCAAACTTTTAATAACGCCCATCATCGTCTTAGTTCCAGTCCATTTGAATTCGGTGCATCCCAGTTGCGGGTCTCGCCCTCATTATTGCGCCGCTTGATAGATGACGACCTCATAACCATATCCCCATGCGGTGTTGTCTTCGTGAAATCCTCGGTGCGCGAGGGTATATTGCCGCGCATGCTCAGCGAAATTCTAAATACACGTCAAATGGTTAAGCAGTCCATGAAGTTGGACAAAACGAACTCGGCACTGCAACGTGTACTCCACTCACGTCAACTTGGCCTGAAACTTATGGCGAATGTGACCTATGGCTACACTGCGGCGAATTTCAGTGGACGCATGCCGGCTGTGGAAGTCGGAGATTCGGTCGTCGCGAAAGGTCGTGAAACGTTGGAGCGTGCTATACGCATGGTCGAATCAAATGAGAAGTGGCGCGCGCGGGTTGTTTACGGTGACACGGACTCTATGTTTGTACAGATTCCTGGGCGAAATCGCGATCAAGCGTTTAAAATAGGTGAGGAAATAGCAGCGGCGGTGACCAGAGACAATCCACAGCCGGTTAAATTGAAACTTGAAAAGGTATATCAGCCCTGCATACTGCAAACCAAAAAGCGTTACGTTGGTTATATGTATGAAACGGCTGATCAAGCGGAGCCAGTGTATGAGGCGAAGGGCATTGAGACGGTGCGACGGGATGGCTGTCCGGCAGTTGCAAAAATGCTGGAGAAAGTATTGCGCATCCTATTCGAAACTACGGATGTGAGCCAAATCAAGCAATACGTCTGTCGTCAATTCAGTAAACTTCTCGCTGGACGCGCCAATTTACAGGATTTAATATTCGCAAAGGAGTTTCGTGGGTTGAAGGGTTACAAGCCAACGGCGTGCGTGCCAGCTTTAGAGTTAACGAGGTTTGTGCATAAGCCCGCTACAACTATCGAGAAATTAGCCTAAAATAGACTGTGTCTCTTATTACTCTTTACAGACGTTGGATACAAACTGATCCGCGTCGTATACCGCGCTGCGGTGAACGCGTGCCATTCATAATTGTCAATGGACCGCCCGGGTTGCCATTAATTCGGCTCGTACGTAGTCCGCATGAAGTTCTCGCAGATGAAGGCTTGAAAATCAATGCGATCTATTATATAACCAAAGCAATTATACCACCACTTAATCGCTGCTTACTGCTGATCGGCGCTGATGTGAATGAGTGGTAAATGTCTCTGCTTACTTTACAATTTCTTTAGCTTACATCTAGCCATCCATGTAGGTTCGCCAATTTGCCTCGCAAAATATTACTCGTGCCACCAGTTTCCACAGCCAACAAACTTGCATTCACCATTGACTCTGCGTATCACTCGAAGAAGAGCACAATTTCGCAATATTTCTCTGCAACAAATTGCATTGTCGATTGTGGGCGGCAGACGAAACAAGGCATCTGCGAGGATTGTGGACGCCAACCGCAACGCACCTTCGTGACGTTGTATGGGAAAATGGCGAAAATCGAGCGGGGCTACCAGTTGGTGCAGCAGATATGCCAAGCGTGCTGTGGGCGTGTGGGAGAGATTAATTGCTGCTCGTTAGATTGTCCGGTGTTGTATATGACCGAAGTGAAGCGACGTGATTTGCAGCAACTGGAGCATATGCGCAAACTGCTTGCCGAGCGATTTTAACCTTGAGCAGTTGTCGTTTATTTATTAGCTAAGAGAAAAACCTCTGCTGCATGAGAAACCAAATAAGTTTTAATATCACAGTAAATTGTATTATAATTTAAGTGAAAAATATAGTTCAATTCGATGTTTTAATGTTACAGTTAGAAAAATTGAAACTCTGGAAGTAGGACATTCCAACGTTTCGCAGATGGGATTTAGGTTTTCAAAATATTTATGCCTAAAAGTATACTTCAACTATTTCTATTATTACTATTATGTTTATTAAAGAAGCTGTAATAAAACCCGATTGAACACGCAGTATCTCCGATATAAAACCGTTTTTCATTTTGAATGGCTTTTCCAAGGAAACAAATTATACTGTCAATAGCTCATATTTTTTTTTAATTCAACTGTATTAAATATCGTACTTTTTACTCCTTTATTTTGATTGTTATTTTTCTTTTGTGGAAAAGTGTAAGGCTTCACAAGATAGGTCCTATTTATGTATCAGGTGTACAACTTTGCTTCCGCCGTTTTCCGATAGGTGGCTGTACCGGCTAAGGCTGGTTGAAATACATAGATAATAATGCCTTTAAAGTAAGTGTGGACAGTGCCTAACGAATTTTCATCGCTGTTTCAGTGAAAGTTGTTCTTGTTTTCGTATTATTCACGCTCGAAAATGTCCGTTTATGTGCCTAATTCTCGTCATTTGCGGGAAGTTTTACTTTTCTGTTACAATTCGAAAAAAATATGCAGCTGAAGCGCATCGAATGCTCTCAGAAACTTACGGTGATGCTGCTCTGAGTGAAAGAACGTGTCGGGAGTGGTTTCAACGTTTTAAAAATGGTGATTTCGATGTCGAAGACAAACAAGGTTATGATTTGTATTTGGTGGGATCAGCTCGGTGTGATTTATTACGAGCTCTTAAAACCGGGTGAAACCATCACAGGAGATTGCTACAGAACGCAACTGAGGCCACAATATCAAGAGCGACATGACAAAGTCATCCTCCGCATTCGATTCTCGATCTGCGTTTGTTATTCAAATTTGACGATATTTTGCTCGACTATTGAATTACTAATTGCGATCGCCTCACCGGATGTATTTCTGATATGGAATAAAACCTCATGAAAATTCAACGACCGTTCGGAGACGGTTTAATATAAATTAAAAGTCCCGAAATAATAATTTTTGAAATGTAGCATGAAGACTAGCAAAAGTAAGCTTTAAATCATGCCATTAAAAACAAATAAAGAATTATTTTAAAATATTTATTAACATTTTGTTTTAATATATGTATGTATGTATTTGAGGTGCTCAAAATGTATCCATGTCCATGTGAGAGCATATGAGAACATGCATTAATGATTATAAATATGTAATTTAATAAAAAATTGTTACAACTTGTATATATATAGTATATGTATGTATGTTTGTATACCATTGAGAGTACTTATGTTGTTCGTATGCATGCGTTGCAAATGCTTTATAACAAATTTTCAAACGCATATTGGTAAAAGAGTATAATTAACAATTGTTTTTTTTTTCTCTCCCTAAATGATTTGTATAAATCCAAGATTAATGTTTATTTTACAATTTCGACACACACGTGAAGTGTGTGAAAGGTACCCAATTATTTAGAAATATTTTACAATTTTGATTATCGCCTAAAGTGTGATTACAATTTCATGTTTCGTATACGAAGTTTATAACAAACAAATATACATATATAAATTTTGAAATATATGTGTTTGCATTTTTGTTTAGCAAATCTACATAAATGTAAGATATATAGAAATCACTCAATCGCGTGCGTGGTACACGTCTATAAGGCAAATTAAAGTTGCAAATTACGTATATATTGAACAATTAATAGGTATGTGTAGGTATGTATATATGTGAGTCTGCAAAAACAAAACTCTAGGACTGCTAACAGGATACAAATTGGAAGATGATATCTACGTTGTGACAGTAATGGTGTGTGACGTACTCGTACATACATGTGTATATATATATATATATGTATATGTAAAAGTTAATTAATGATTGTGTATTTGTACAATTCTACTCGGCAGAGGTGAACGTTTCGAAAGTGGTGCAAGTGAAATGCCCACTACATGTCTAACTCGAACATCATCATAGTGTGCTTGTGCGCTTCAGCATCCGACGATTCCTCCGATTCTAGGCGTGCGCGTGACACTTTGCTGCCACCCTTTGCGTGTTGTTGTTTATTGACAGCATATTTGTTTGACTGCTTACCGCTGGCATGAGGCGGCTTAAGAGCGCTGCCAGCGACGTTTTCATCGCTCTTGCAACTCGACTTCAGATACTGCTCCCTATCGGTATCCAGACCGATCGGCTGAAAGGAGGAAGTAAAAAAACATTTTATTAAAATAAATACAGGAATTTTGTATTTGCTGAGATAGAAAGATTTCCAAAATAATAAACACTTTCATTAAGACCGCCCCTAAACTTCGAGCAACGACAATTGTGTCCACATGTACTGTACGTACATAATTATAGCACAACACCTACATTTAGCGCTAATACAAAAATAACATTGTCCCACTTTCTCGCGTCTAAATGCCGCAATCAATGAAGTAATTAAACAACATGAATACAAACAAACAAATTTGCTAAGCAAATAGCCGGCGAATAAATGCACGAGTGAGCCCTCTTATAAGTACATATATGTATTAATGTGTGTAAACATACGTAGGTACGTGTGTTTGTGCATATCGCAATCTGCAGATTAAAAAATAAATTCTTAAATGGCAAAATTACCGTTTGTTTATTTACATATACATATGTATATGCAAATGTGTTTTTACTACTATAACAACATATATACATATGTACAAGATATATATAAATAGTGCTAGGTCATGTTTGCACAAAGGGGACTCGATTGGCGTGGTGCCACAAAATAATTTAATTCGTTGCAATAAATATAAATAAATACATTTACAATTATATAAATATGCACACACATATCAACACACTACATACATACATACATATGTATGTACATGGCATCGCACTTGGGTAGGATCAATGTTTGTTTACATTCTTAAAAAGCAATTTTTGCTCGCCAAAGCAAACAAATACACTACTCAATTTGCCAAATGTAGGTAATCGGATATGATAATGTTATCGCAACTCCAATAATCATTTATATTTATATTGTCGGCAAAATGATCTAAGTCTATTAACATAACATTTTACGTAAGCGCGTTTGAAGATAACGATTGTCTAATTTTATCGTGGAAGAATTTTCTAAAATCTTGATTAAATTCTTGCTTAAAAAAGAAGAAGAAGAAAAAGTAATAAGGAAAATTTCCTACACAACTTTTAACATTACACACCTTGCTGTTGTCTTCGTAATCAGCAGAATCGCCTTCGCTGACACGACGTTGTAGAGCGCGCTGTTTCCGATCGCGACGTTTCTGATTCTTCTTTCGTTGCCCCAAAATGCTGGAATTCAGTCTATAAATACATCAAAAAGACAATTTAAAACAAATTAAATATTTACTCGAAAATATACAAAATATATTGTGCAAATTGTACTCAATTGTTTTATCAAACGATGTACATATGTATGCATATACAAACATACATGTTTATATATGTTTATGCACGTCATTTTGAGTAATTTGTGAATTGCGCAATTTAACTGTGAAATTGCGCGAATCAGAAAGAAAAAAATAAGATAAGGTAGCAGACCAAGGTTGTTTTCGCTGCTTTTTTCATCACCTCTTTTTGGTGGTATACATCTCTAATGATAAGAAAACTATGATTGGAAATTTTTAATGTGTTTGCAACGTACGAACTCACCTAAACACTTGTTCTTTGATGACCTCATTAAATCTAACAGTCTTTTTGCAGCTCTCCGACAGCCTATTGGAGTCATTCTCCTCCGGTATGTCACTGAATGATTGTGAGAAGCGCAAGCTACTACCCACGCCACCATCCACCGAGCAGGAGAACGACGAGTACTCATCGATGGACGAACAGCTGTCCGATATTGATGGACGTGGCTCGTAACGGCTATAGTGTTTTAAAATACCCTTAAAAGAGGGTGGCAAAGTGGAGCCACCGCTGCTCACAATGCTTTCGCCACTTCGACACTCCGAATAGCTACGTTGTTTTCGCTGTTGTGCACTGTTTGGCACGGCCATTGATTGAGATGTCAATGGTTGTGGTTGTATGATGGGCGTAATGGTATCTGAACGTTCTGGTGAGGAGTTGTCATCCGGCGAATTGGAAGAATCGTTATTTAGGATTTTGGCAGCAGCCTCTTTTAGGAATTGTTTTTGATGTTCTTGCTGTTGCTGTTGTTGCTGTTTCTGATATACTTTGATATCATCACAGACCGATTCGGAGAGTGATCGGCGTTTCTTATTCTTCTTCTTTTGTTTTTTGTTAATTTTCTTTGTCACAGCCTCGGTTCCATGCATCAAACCATCTTCGTCTTCGGTGGTATTGGCGGTACATGTCGATTGAGCTTCATTAGTAGGCTTAATTTCAATTTCCACTGAACGCTCACACTCCGAACGTTCAACAGAAATATCCAGCGACGAGGATAGAGAAATCGGCGGTGTTGGTGGTGATTTCTTGCGCGATTGACGCGACTTATGGCCCAGTTGAAACTTTCCCTGTATGTTGTACTCTTTCAGATCACTCGCATCGATGCCAACCAGATAGTTTTGTATATTCTCGCTGGAAGTAGCCAAATTCACATTTAATACTACGTTGTTTTCCCAAGCTTCAGCTTCGGCAGTGTCAATTTCTGCTTTGCAATCCTGCGGAAGCTGCAGATAAAATGCATAATGGGTAGGATAGTAGCCACTGCCAATAGAGGTGAATTGCAAATGTAGGCTCTTGATTTTTTTAATCATTGCTATGGATTCCGGCTGTACATTGCGGACGTGTAGAACGAATGACATAACGTTGTCCAGGACATTACAATCGAATTTCGCGGGCAGCTGATACTGAATAGGGCTTTTAAGGAAATTATTGGCGGAATTTGTAGGTGATGGTAATGTTGCTGTGGAGCTCGAAGATGGGGGCGCTGCAATAAGTTTTACGGAATCAAAATTAAGTTTTAACATTTTTACTCATATCTCAATTCTATTACATTAACTGAAGCTACATCAATATTACAATAATATTTAGTACTCACAATTTTCATTGTCAGCTAACATGCTGCTGCTCTCCTCCACTGTGTCGCTTAATTCCTCAACTGGCGATTCGCTATAAGAATTCAAATGACCATCCTCGCGAATATCACTCTCCACGCCACTATCTTCGCGATTTAGCTGGGAAATGGAATCATGCATGGCACGTTGCTTCTTCGGGCTACTTTGCGTAACTGGCAGCGTTATAGATAGCTGTCGCTTATCTGTATCAAAACGGGCATTACCTTTTTTATCATCTACAGCATAGGGGAGATCTAAATTAAGGCGATACTTTGCGCCTGGGCGATCGCTAAACAAATACAATGACTTTGCTGTTACGTCTAATTTGCAGTCGGCTGTAGACTTGAGCAGCGGCAATTCAATCTCAATTACCAATTCACGCGGTACAGTGACGCTGAGTTTGGCGTCGAGCTCGTAGGTGTATTCGCTGAGATCAACATCCCGACGATGCTTAATAACATATTTGGGTACATTAAATTCAGGTTTTGAGATTGGATTTTGTGTTTTCATAGGTATTAACTTTGGCTTCGTAGCATCAGCTGTAGGCTTTGCGGGGGAAATGGAATCCAGAGGATGTGGTTCCTTAGCGTCTGGTGGCGGATTTTTCGATAATGAGCGTATCACAAGCGGCCGTGCCATGCCCTTGAACAACAGTTTTGGAAATTTCAAATTCGTTCGATCTAAGATCACCTGTTAAATTGCAAAATTAACATAAATATATAAAAAAAAAGTTTGGAAGAAATCAATATTTATGCAATACGAATTTAGACACTCACCTTGAATTCCCTTTCTACAGCGTCCAGCGCTGTGTCAATGAGGCACTTACGGAAAGCGGAATCTCGTTGTGACAAATACAACGCATCCGGATGAAAGATCACATCGTATACTAGACAGCGTTTGCTTTGTGCATCCAAATCCTCACGTGGTGGTGCCTGCGCAAGCGGAATGGACCAACTTAAGTCGGGATGTCCTGTTTCTGGATTTATGCACCTCTGGTTTGACGGACGCGCGACATCAACACATTTGGCTATATTTACGAAACATTTTGTTACGCCGTCGACCGAAGTTTTCACTACGAAACCTGGTTCCGGATTTATAAAACGAACATCTACACCACGCTCCGCCTCAAACTGTTTTATTTCTTGCTCGTAAAGTTTACGATTGTTCGGATCTTGTATTTCTTCACAATACTCAAAGAATAGTTTTCGAAACTCTTCTTTTTTTAAAGCATCCTCTATACGAGAAAATTCCTCCTTTGTTATATCTAGATATTTTGAGCAGCCGCCGCCACCACTATTGCTATCACGTCTTGGGGGCGGCGGGCAATGTTTATTACGCACAGAGGAATTTTGTGTCGCGGTAGATTCTGACATTTTTCTTGCACAAATTTCTATTTGAACAATTTTCACTATAAACTGTTATTTGATATTAGATTATGTTTTTCACCAATTTTATACACTTTCACTTGAATCGTCTTTTTCTTTTCTTTTCTTTTCAAGAATTTTTCGATTTGAATTTTTATCCTACTAGACACAGCAAGTTTTTAGTTTTAAATTTTTATTTTTTCCTTTATTTTAGTGTGGTTTCTCAATTTGAGAATTATATTTTAATCTGAAATAAAAAAGTATGTTATTTTAAATACGTATTTGATGTCAAATACAGCCTAGTGCAAAGAGAAAATATTGGATTCAATCTGTTGTCCTAATGTATGCCATACTCTGGCATACGTACATATGTATGGATGTGGAAATCACGCGGTATTTGAAGTTTTCTTAAACTGTTTTATATTCATACATATTCACATTTTCAAGGTGATTTTCATTTATATTACATACATATATACATATATACATATTTTGGTAATGATAAATAGTGTTTAGTTAAAAATCTACATACATATGTTTTTAATCCATTCTCATATGCGTATGTACATCTGTTTGAATTTCGCAAATATATAAATTAAACAAGAAATTATTCATTTTTGTAGCTAGGCTCATATATGCAGATGTATGTAACTACATATTAACATTTATATCTAAAATCAAAAATTCTATGTTCAGAATGCCATTGATTTTAATAGCTTTTTATTGAATTAATAAAGACAATTACTTTTCAACTCTCTCTCTCTAAAGCAGAAATATACATTTTACTTGAGAAAAGTGTCTTACATTGCTTTGCACCCAAGGGGATCATTGCGTGATTCTATACACGTAATCATCAAATAATTAGGTATCTACATACCTATGTACATATCTGCAATGTAATACAAATATACTTTGTTTTATCAATATTTTCAAAATGTATACTACAAATGTACACGGAATACATATATAGATATTCATACATAGTTTACGTATGTATTTTTGCCTTTCGCCCAACTAAGCAAAGAAGATAAATAGTCTAAAGAGAATAACGGCATCAAAACCATTTTGTTTGGTTCGGTGCAGATGGAAGAGGATCATTTTTAAACGAACCAACCTCCAATTAACCCTCTCCTTCTTCCACATGCTCCTAATCAAACATTTATTTTTAATAACTCTTCCTATGGAGGCGAATTGTTGTGAGGGGGTCGTGCTGGTGGTCGCCGTATACAAACTACAAAACTTGATTTGCCTTGGACGCAACTTGCATTGCCGGCGACCCGGCTCGTGTGCCTTGGAATTACAAGTTTGCTTACACGTTTGACGAGCGATGTCAGTGACATTTGCACTACTTTTCTTTCCATAAACTTTTCTCTACACCTACGAGCATGCATGAACAAAATGGACAGTTGCCATGAGGCATACTTAGCTGGGGAGGTTTCAATAACACTATTTTAAGGAGCCCTAATCTTTCTTGGTTTGTTTATATAACTTTTTGTGTATGTAGATATTTAGGTATACATATGTATATGCACTCAGCTGTTTTAAAAACAAAGACAACTTTTATTTTTCAATATTCAACACAATATTTAGGATTTTTTAACACAATATTTTTGACAATCACACACTTTCAAAACGAATTTATTTAGAAACCTACCGCCTCGTGTTATCTATTGCGCAGCGGCTTTTTCAGTTTTCACGTACAAATCTTTACATACATATGTTTGTATGTATATTTTCTAAATTTTATTTATGTACTCGTTTTTTCACTTTTTTCTGACGTGGTTGTGAGAGCTGGAGCAAATCATATGGTTGATAAATCAAGCTAGTGACTTTAAAATAAGCACCCGATGAAAAAGTGAGTATTTGAGCAATTCTCAATATATAAAATCATCATTTCATATTAATTATTATACATAATTATTTATTGATATTTGTAACTTGGATTTCGGTTTTTTTTGGTGTATAGCTTTTTGAAAAGTATCTAAATGATTTGATACGCACCTATGTATACGTTGGTTTTAATAACCGGTTCATAAAATTACTATTCTCTCGTTATTTAGAAAACGAAGAGTGTAGAGAAAACAAAAAAGAGGCGGAATAAGCAGCTGTAAAAAATTAAGTGGACGATTTTTCTGGAACTCTGTTTCAGCTGATAGTGTTGAGTAGCAGCTGAGCAATTTATTTAAACATGTGATTATGTTCGCAAACTCGGTCTAATTGGATTTTTATAATATGTACTATTACACTAAGTTGCTATGACATCCATAGGATTGATATCAATTTGGGGCCTTCATTTAAAAGCATTGCATATTATAATGGTTAAAAATTATATATTCAAGTTGAATATTGCTGAACCTGTTTAGAGAGAGAAATGTTGAGCTCCTGGCGGCTAACATATATCTTTTTCATAAGGCACCTATGTACTTACACATAAGAAAATATATAAACGTAACTCTTAAGCACATACAATTTTTTTTAAACAGTATAATTTTCACAAATGCATAGGCATATGTGAGTTCTTACAGACGTGCGTATGTATGTGCACATTTTTGTTTTTTCTCAATTCATACTACATTGTATGCACATACCATTTAGTTAATTTGAGTCGACAAACTGAATCTGCACCACCAACCTTTGATTATTGTAAAGAAATCGGTTTTATATTTTTATTATTGGAGAATTAATAAATCTGATTTCGATTTGTCTATATTTTTCAACGTTTATATAAATTTACAACCACTTGCGACGAATTGAAATAATCAACTGTCGCTTGCCACAGTAGGACCCGCGTACAATCAATCCAATTGGAGAGAGTGCCGGCTCACGAGCAGTTTAGAGAGTATTTCTTCATTCGGATATATGCCGGTTCTGTTGTTGTTTATTTTGTTTAACTGGCCTTACGCCGCTCGGTGGCGCAAATTGAAAACATTGTACGTATTATATACATACAAACAATAATTTTTATATATGTATATATAAATATACATCTCTACATATATACCTGGATGTATGCGTAATGCCTTGGGTGCATGAGATAGCATAAGCTACATAACTACGTAATGTCTAATTTTCAATTGAGTAGTAAATTTAGATGGTGTTGAAGAAGCTACAAAATATTATACTACACATACATATCTCCTTTAAGGTTTTCTATTAATAAAAAGTCAATTGAACAATAGAAATTTTTCACTTTTCATTATCAAAATTATTTATTGAAATTATCAACAAAATATTAAAATAATATATGGATATTTCTTACTGTCTGTGCATCTCTGGCAGATTGAGCCTTCAGAGAACGTATTGTTACGATTTTACTGAATCAACCTCGATTATTTTCTAGATCCTTCGGGTACGATCTCTGGATTGTTAAATAAAAACTCGCCAACTTAATTTGCAGTTTCTTTCGTTATAAAGATTCTATCTAATGTCCTTTATTTTCTCAGTAATTCACAATTCAATTATACTGCACTTTACTATTTATAATCACTAACATCAACTTTCACAATTTCCTCTACTTAAATGTAATTCCCAACGCGTTCACTTTACGTCTTCACTGATGTTAACGCCAACCAATTTGCTTTGTCACTGCTTGACTTGCAGCTGAGTGTCGCCTTTATATAGCAGTCGGCTGCTCGCAGACGAAAGCGTAGAAGCATCGAATTGTTCGCTATGGAAGGTTCTTGTGTTATCGGCTTCTCTCTTTCATCTGACATTCGCCTCGCATTTTCGCAACAGTATAATTTATATGTGATACAAGTAAATAAAAGCGGCTGTTAATTTATATTTGCATAAATTTTAGTTCTCTGTTGTGTTTTAACACGCTCAATTCTGTTAATTTTTCATATCGAGGTGAAACAGAAATTTAAGACGAGAAGGAAATGACGATTACACCAAACGAAATTTTTCTGCCAGAAATGTCAAAAACGCTGGCTTTGCACCTTCTCTATGTTATACGTTCTCTGGAACCTTCTCGTTGTATTTACGTTCTCTGATTTACGTTCTCTGAAAGATACCAAAATAAAGGAAATATAGCACTTATTTATCGACATTTTCATTACGAAGTCGGTAATGATGTTCATCTGGTATAAAATACCGGAAATTAAAAAGCCTTTTATAAAGTCAAGCAGTTAAGCTTAATTAAAATAAAATAAAAAATTGCCGTAAAAACCCGATATTCATGGTTTCCCCTCTGATCTATTCAAATACGAAGGCGAAGAACAGAAAACCTGCATGCATTTGCTTCATTGCAGAATGTGATTGCTGGATGAGCGCTGACGATTGTATGAAGTGTGCTCTTTACCTAATCCCTAAGATGAAGGACCAAATAATCTGCTTCTATTTTAAGGAATAAGAGTCCCAAATGTCGTTTATGTATGTATGTTAGGGGACACTATCAACTGTTCGTACCTTGTCAGTTTGGCTTCAAATCTGTTTTTGTTGTTGTTACCGCAAAAATTTTTCCAAAGTACTTTTTGGGAGTGACAGTCCTTGGCCAGATAAAAATCTGGGTCGTTCCGGTATAAAGACCCGACTGTCGCGGGATCTTTTGGATTTTAGTCGCCGTCGAAGGAACGCCGCCGCAATTATTGCCTGTTTCTTACTGCTGATGCGATTTTCCATTATCAATTTGTGCGTTTTGATGTTTTTAAAGAAATGATGGCACCTATAGTTTATTCTAAGCCGCCTCCGCATGGCAGTTGCTATTTATGATGAGCTTTTATTTCATGTCAGAATTTCAATCAGCAAAAGAAGGCGCAGCGGTTTTGCTGGCCAGATCATGGCATCCGAATGAATGAAAGTGCTTCAGCTTTGGAAGTATAAGATGGGGTGTCCCAGAGCACATATAACAACTTCAAGTTTTAGGGAACCAAAGAAAGAAGGGTAGAAATTGGGAAGAGGAACTCCTCCACTCTGCTTGAAGGATCAGGTGGAAAGTGATTTATTAGACACATCCAACTTAATACGCATTTTCGTGTTTAAACAATTCTTCAACCTCTAGCTCCATATTGAACTTCAGATACCTCAACATCGTTAATATGTACGTGTATGTACATATGCAAGCGGCATCATCAACACTTGCCCGTAAACAAAAACTTATTAACAAAATATTTATTAAAGATAATTTCTTTATTGTACAACGGAAATAATTTTTATTTATTACAGATTACATTTACAGAGATGTACGTGTATGTGTGTACATACAATAAATAATCGATTTTCAAAAATATAAATTTTATAAAGTAAAGATAATAATGGTCTTAAGGTAAGATTTAAGTTAAATTTAATGAAATTATGATATAAAAATTACAAACAAACATACGCATGCATACAAATCAAATCAATCAAATCAAAAACAAATTCAGACACACTACCACACGCACCAATCATTTTACTAACTATTCTAAAAGCTATATATAATATGTATGTATGTATATATTTTGTATTGCATATTACTCTAAATGTTTAGATATATATAAATGTATGCAAATATGATAGATGATTCTTTTTGAACGAAAAAAAAATAAGAAACATAATCGTAGTTATGTATTATTAGTAAACCGCCAAGTATCATTTGCCCTCCTTCCAAACGGACGACCCGGCGCTGGTACTCCTAGCGCCACACTTTTCAACGACTCTCATAACGCATCGTCTCCTCAACTGTAATTTACGCTTGGCCTTTGGCGTAGTAATAGCCGGTGAAGGGAGAGGACTGGGATGTGTGTGCCAATGGTATTGTGCGGCCTGGCGCAAGCGCATTGTGTTGTTGCTGGCGACGTACACGCGATGGCTGATAAGGTGGCTGCAAATCGCGTTGCAGGGCCAGCGAAGCCAAATGCTGCTGCTTAAGATCACTAATCATAGCAATTTTTCGATGTTTAGGCTGAGCATTAGCCGATGGTGTTGCTGTGGAGGGATTGTTGGTAGATGGAGTTGAACTTTTCTCGGCGTTGGTGCTCCTAAAGTGATAAGCTTCCAGATCATCATCACGCGGAAGAGGTTTGTTTTGATCCTCCTCCACTGGACTGCCATCAGGTCGTACGCGGAAGACTAACGGGCCACTGAGGAAAGTCTCTACAGCTGGTTTTTGTTGATCCGACTGGCCACTGGCATAACCATAGGTTATATCCATGTCCATAGCGAATTTGTGCTTGTTCTCAGCTCCACTGTCGAAGATCGGATTGTGTCTGTGTGCGCTAGCTGCGGCGCCGGCTGCTGCATCGGCAGACTGTTGATGAGTTAAGATAATAATGGACGAGTCGGGTGGTGTTGGCAGCGGTTTGCGGGTGGTGATCAGTGTTGAACTCGGATGATCGCGCATAATGGAAGACCAAACTGTAAATAGAAACAAAATACTTTTGGAATTACAAGGAAATCTATTTTTAAACCTGTAAAATTTTGATTTGTGATTTAATTAAATATGCACAGATTACATCTCTGAAAATACACGTACGTCTGAGTGGGAAGAGATATTGTATGTGCGTGTAATTGCCAGACATTTTATTGTCATTAATAATAAACAATTATTTAGCTGCTATCTATGTGTGTATGATATTCAGCCGGGCAACAGTGGAGCCAATACAGATGTTGTGAAGTTAAAAATAAAAAAATAAAACATTGTAATGCTTGAACTATTTATATATGTAGAATTTTTTAAACCAAGAGAAAACCCAATTAAAAAAATTTTTTTAGGTCATTGTTGAAAATTCAGTTAATATTCCACTTCTGCCTACAAAACGTGAATATAGATATGGAGAGTTTGCCAAAAGCTTAAATATTTATTCAAAAAAGATGCATTCACACTTATTGGAAATTTATGCAAAAGTCATCATGTAAACATTTCCGTATACATATTTATGCAAACAAACGTCTTTTTTGTACTCTCTCAAAGCGCACATTTATCGACGAAGCTGCATTTTGCGCTTAGTAGGCATCCCTGCAAGAACAGCCTGATGCATTCATCAAAACATTCCCAATACTCATATTTATGAAAATTTTCTTCTCTCTTTTCTGTCCTCATTCGATTTACATTTCTTTCTATCCGTAATTTTTCTTCTTATTTTTCTTCTGCAGATCGTTACTGGCAAGCTACTGCATGGATGTGAAGAGGATGCGTGTATTTTTGCAGGAATACCACAGGGCGATTAGTACAATGAATCGGTCTTAGTAGTGTGTTGGAAACACGGTTGGTTGGTTAAGTATTGTTTGAAAGGGGAGGCCTGACCACACATTTTCGAACATTTCGCTCTATTCAGTAAATTACTTCAATTTCTTCCACTCATGCGCTTTCATATGCACAAGGCTGGAGCTTAGAGCACCGTTGCAGATTTCACGCCTCCTTCAGCCGGACATTCGCAAAAAGTATTGTTCCAGCGTTTCGTCACCCTCTGTGCAGACTCTACACTCTGATGATTCTACCTTACCTAGATTTTACATATGAAATCTTACGGGTAAATGCACTGTTAGTACACCTACATATGTGAATGCTAAGTTCTCTTTTGCCTAGAGCTAGCAAGAGTTTGGTCTTTGTTTGGTTGGAATCTCTCCAGAACTTTAGGTGTTTCCCTATCATTTGCCTTATCATTACATGGAATCCAAGTGATACACACTGTGTTAACCCGTGATAGTCCGTTGCATGTTCCCACAGACTTAAACTTTGTGCTGACATATTTAACTGCCTTAGTTGAAATATTGGCTGCCTACAAGAAATCTGATAGATTCCCTTGTTAAAGTGGTTGCCTATTTGGCGCCTTCATAATCTCTGCTTTGAAGACAGAGTTGTCTGGCAGTTAAAAAAGGGCCTTGCTTCTGGGCATATAAGTATAGATGCGGATATCTTTGGTATTGCCGATGGACTTGCCAACCGCCCATTCTTCTCTGTTAGAAAAGGAGTACGTGGCTTGCACCTGGCAGAAGGTTTTCTCGGCCGAATTGTACATTTAGCGTATTCTCACAGCTTTCTGTATGCCGCCATGTCCTTCACACATGAGGGACTGGTCCCAACTGTAGGGCCATTTGAGCGGCTAGCTAATAGCCCTGCTTCATATCATTCATCACTTGTATGCTAATTAGGCCAGGGCCTTTGTTTAGGTAGTTCTCATCGTGCGTCCTAGACCATATAGACAGGTACGTTGCACCCGTTGTAGGGTACGCAGACATTCTTCTTTAGAAATTTTTAGTTAAAAAGTGAAGTTATTGATAAACAAATTGTGCATATTTAAGGGGATAATAATAGTTTCTAGAACAATAATAACACCTTGTAAATGAGTTAGCATGTTGATCCATTTAAAAAAACGAGTTTTTGGCTCACTAAGTGATCGACCACTTCATTCTAACCTAACTTTTTATAACTATTTTTTAAACCTCATTAAATTTTCTATCAAATTTTGCATTTCATGAGTTTTTTAAAAAATGATACACCGTATTGGAAGAAGTCATTTTTTTGTACAAAAATATTCCATGAAAGATGGAGATCGTTCGGAGCAGTTAAAGTAAAACCAATGTTTTTAACAAGAACAAATGGGAATTCGATATTAAAACAATAATCTACAATATATGATAAAACATTCATTTCAGTACTTTTTTAATATCGACGTCTTCCAACTTTATGCTAACCATAAACGATGAACTAAACGCTGAAGAAGACGGAAATATTGTATTCCGTCGCTCATTTGTGTCTTAAATGTAGAACAAGAATGCAGAAAGAGCCAGAGAACAAATAGGGAATGTCATATTCTTATAAGTACATAAATATTTCCATCAGTTTTGTAATTTCACGCAAACGAAATTGATGTAGACCTTGTTCTATGCGCTGATGTATACACTCTACAGTTGTATGTAGCTCTCGATTGATGACTCAAATGATCATTAGCGCTCTTGCAGGTATGGGTGTAGTATAAGCTTTTGCCGCTGGAGTTATTTTTTTTTCAAAAGACTATCTAGTTTAGTGTTTAAAAATAAAATATTGGAATACATACATACATATTTATGTACACAACATACACGTATGTATGTATGTAAATATTTTGCTTTTCTCAACGAGCTTTTTAAGGTACATACATATGCATTAGTTGAAATGTTTGTTCGGTAAATAACAGTTAATTTCATGAATTGTATGTTTGTATGCACATATTATAAATTTACAGACATATATATGTATGTATGTATGTAATGTAATTGATAAATGGGAGTATTCAATTAGTAATAAAAGCCATTTGCGGAAGTCAATTAGTCGGCTATCATAAATCTGTTCTCACGGATGCACTTTTTATACAATGTAATCGTATATACTCTGAGATATCTACATCCACATGCGCATAGGACTGGCGCAGAATGCATTGATGCACATTAAATAATACAAAAGATTAGTGTGATATGTTTTATAATTTTTCAAAAATTAAATTAATTAAATTACATATGTACATATTTATTTTTTAAAAAATTAACTTTAAATTTTTCAACTCTAAAATTGAATTTATAAATTGATAATATTTTCTTCAAACATTTTTAGTATATTTTTTAAATTTTTGGAAAATTTTTTACCATTAACTTTTAAACACTTTCTTTGCTGTGCCATTCAAAGTCCCATGTGTGTGAAATATTTCGTTTGGCGCGGCTGTGTTACTTACATACACACACACACGTATCTCAAAATGTTTATTGATTCTTTTTACAAATAAACTTGTCACTTACTAAGTTCATTGGCAGCTCGCTGATAGGGATCCAACTGGTCCAACTGTGCATCGGAGAACGTTTGTAGTTTCTCATAGCCATAGGCGAGCAAATCACGTTTGCACTGGTTCACTGGCACCGTTGATGTGGTGGCTGTAGCTTTACAATGTACACTGACCAATTGACCGAACGTCGAGTAGAGATACGACATCTGTTGCAAGAGAAAGAGAGAAAGAGAGAGGAGAAAAAAGGTTAATATAAATCATAAATACTTTGTAAAGCGCTGGCTTTAATAGATAAAACTCTTTCGTTTACATATACTATAGGAAAAATGTTGATAAGAAGGCGGATGTTATGTGTAATTGCTTGCGCCATGTAATTTCTAATAAATATACTGTATAAAATGAATTTGTTTATTTTGTTTGTAAGAGTCCATCTGAATTTATAACAATTTAAATTTATGAACAAAGGCTTTGCTAATTTAATGGTTGTCCGCCGCGATAGCAGAGTGGTTAGTAGAAGAAGAAGGCCAGGATTCGCGTCCTAGTCCGACCAATATTTATCTAAAATTATAGAGAATTAATTTAAATTGAGAACCAAGTCTCGGTCGGTCGCTCGGAGGCGGCCTACAATAAACTAGGTAAGTCCCTCCACACCTTGGAAAAATATCAAGACGCAAAACCACAAATTGGAAGAGAAGTCCGGCTTCGAACAAGCCATCAGCGGTTATAAAGTGCCAATTATATATATGAGAAATATGGTCGGTTTTGTTCGATAACTTCTAGCAATTTGAAGGTAATGTTATTACGCCTCTCTCATAGAAACCTTCGTCCCTTTTGGCAAAAAAATTGGCACAATCGATTACCACAGGCCTTTCTTGAAATTTTTCACCAACCAAATCATTTATCGTAGACAGGAACAGATGATAATCACTTTGTGCGAGGTCCAATATAATGTGGTGAGTCACTATCGATGTGTTGTGGTCGTGGTTTTAACCTGGCAAGGCTGGGCGCATACGGGTGACTGCTTCCTGCTGACGGTCCAATTGCTAACAGTACAGGACCGATTAAGTGTTTGACAGCAGTGAAACAGTAGCTAAGCAGCTTCAGAAATGGGTTGATTTTACAGCAATTTGCAGATGAAAATTCGATCCATGAGGTTTTTTCTCGTTAACTCATATGACACCCATACATTTGTGTATCCATTCTTTATTCACAGGCCACAATTGGCGTTGCATACCGTGTAGCATCTTTTACATCAAAATTATAGGAATGAATCGACGAAACCAAAATTCTGCTGAATTGAATATTACAGTATCAGAACCATAAACATTATTCACATATTCAGCTGTCTGACTTGACTTGCCTTTATCGAAGAATATTTGTGGAATATAGCGTATTTTCTCATTGCTCTCCCATCTTCGAAACACTACTGAGTTAGGGGGCACACCTAGTGTGACATTGCAAAAAAAATCGATATTTTTTCATATTTAGGTAGATTGCACCTTTAAAAATAACAAATCGATATCTCAAATAGTTTTTGAGTGATAGAAATTTAAAGAGCAGCCGCTCGGCAGCTAGAGAGTCTCATTAGCTACGAGTGAAAACGATCATTTTATCTTTAAACGCGTTTTTTTACTCAAAACCAAATGATCCGATCACTATCGAATTTTTTTACATGTTATATATATATATAGTTCTCCGTACAATGACCTATCGATTTTTGATCTGATCAAAAAATCGAATTTTGGCAGGCCAAAAACGACCAAAATTTTGGGTAGAATTCGACTTTTTTTTTTAAACGCCGCCATATGGTCAGTTTTGGATTTTTTTTATCGTAGATCATTGTACCGGCAATATTATCTAGTAAAGAATTTTTGTTTAGATTTCCTCCACGGAGAAGGCCGGAATCGACCTCCGCGCCGTCGGACTATAACTTAAGAAATATTAAATTTTTTCTTCAAAAATTTTACTGTATATTTTTGAAACGTATATGAATATCTTTTTTAAAAATTTTGAAATAATTGATAAAGTATTTTTTTAATAAAAATTCCCAAAAATCACCTTTTTTAGGCCATTACACTTGGTGTGCCCCTTAAGTGATCAACACTTCTGCCATTATCTGTTTTATTATAAAAAATCATCTTTCCAACGCCATCTAGCGTAATCCAATCTATAGAAAGACCATTAAGGCCACCCGTTGATTGCTTTTTACTAGACGTAATATTATTATTTAGTATTTTTAAGATTTGTTTACTTATTGTGAGGTTTCCGATGTCGAAGTAGATTTAATAAATAAATAAAAATGCCAACAATAATAAATTTTAATAATGCATTGAAATTGAATCAAATATTATATAATATCGGTGTACAACCAGCCTCAGCCGGTACAGCCACTTATCGGAAAACGGCGGAAGCAAAGTTGTACACCTGATATATTAAAATAAAATAAAGTGAAATAAAATGGAGTTAAATAAAACCTGCAATAAAATAAAATAAAATAACAGAAAAAATACAAAAATAAAATAAAATGAAATAAAATATTCAATAAAGTAAAGGAAAATTAAAAAAAAATCAAGGAAATAAAATAAATAAAATCAAGTGTAAAAGAAAAATAAATATAATTAAATTAAAATAATAAAGCTAAAAAAATAGAAAACAATTGAATAAATATAAATAAATGAAATAAAATAAACTATTTAATTTAAATTATAGGTATAAAAATAAAATAGAAAAGCTGAAATAAAATAAATTAAAATTAAATTAAATTAAACAAATTAAATATGAGTTAAATTAAATAAAAATGAAACAAAATAAAATGAAATAATACAAATTAAAATAGAATAAATTAAATGATATAATAAATAAATAAACTTCAAAAAAAATTAAATAAAAGTAATTTTCTGTGTCATAACATTGACGCATTTAAAGTTTATTTAAATTAGTTTAGAGTTACAAGATTTTATTATAATCATTGAAACTATATAATTAAATAAATGTCCTAGAATCAAACTTGTTGTAATTTGAATATGATTAAATGTAAAGTCGGTTATCTATTCTCTTGACCTCTTAGTGTTGAGTATCTTTTGTTGACCGCATTTAAACACTCGTAATTTTCCTAAAATTTACATACATATATTAACCAAATGCATTTTAAATGCATACAATGCGTGCCTACATAAATTAGTATAAGCATAAATACCCATCCGAGTCTGCACCGAAACATGTTTCCAAAATATGACGTTATTTATACATTAAGTATGTAGTTGTGTTGGCTATACATAATAAATATTTACATATGTCAGACTAAAATTAAAAGAGAAAAGAACCTTGCCTTAATACTTGAATATCTTCGAAGTAAACTCGAAAGCAAGAACCGCCCGATCTTTTTCTTAATTCTTAATTCTTCATTTTATATTTGTCTTTCTTTACGAAAATACCATACTCATCCACTTTTGCTTAATTGCAAAGATTTTAAAGCAGCTTATAATCTGTTTATAACTTTTTACACTCACCAGTAAATACCGTGGAATTGGTCAAGTATGAAAAGACAACAAAGTGTTCTTAAAAAAGTGATGAGGATTATCTTTATTAATCCTTGCATCCAATTTCCAAGAAATCTACAAAGGCATTTGTAGTGATGTGAATTTGTTTTCATGTTGATACACATATGTATGTATATATATTTGGTCATAATTTTACGATTTTGCTCTTCAGACTACTTTATACTATTTTTATTATTTTTAAGCGCTTTAATCAAGTCAGTGTTTTACTGCCATCATAAAGATACACATAGACATGTACGTACATGTGTATGCTATTCTCAGACTGTCAAGTGTTCTCGTATTCGCATGGCTCGTGGTCGTTTATATATATACACAAATGTGCTTAAACGTCATTCTTCTTAATTTCATATGTATGTATGTACGTAACAATTAAAAATTGTTTGTATTTTTATTTTGGCGGTGAGAAATCTATAGCAATGACAAAACATTTTTGTGTTATTATTTTACGTTTATAGTATTTTTGCGACTGCGCAGTAATTTTAAGGGAATTCTACGTATTGTTTTTTATAAAATAAACGATTCGTAGTGGATTTTTCAAAACTATTCATGGATAACGAATTGGCGTATAATTAATTCAGTTTAATAGTACATACACGTACATACATTTGTAGGAAACTTCAATAATTTGATTTGGCATATGAATAATCAATTTCCGTTTCCGAAAAAAACATCGATACGCCAAGCCACAAATTGGAGGAGGAGCTCGGCCAAAAATCGTTTCAGCGGTTACAAAGCGCCAATTATATAATAAATAAACAATATTAATGGGAAAAATAAGTTAATGAAATTAAGTTGAAGTTTTATTTTAAATTTAGTTTTATTTTAAATTTTTAATTTTTCTAATACCTTTTAATTTAGTATTATCAGGTGAACAACTTTGCGAAAAAGTGCTTACAGATATATTATTCGGAGTATTGTCCTTCGCTAGCGACAACTTTCTCCCATCTTTCCGGCAAATTTCGGATCCCGGCTCGAAAAAAGGAGTACTCTTTTGACGCTATCCATGAAGCAATCAATTTTTCCAATTCTTCGAAGGATTGAAAATGTTGATCTGCCAGGCCGTGTGCCATCGAGCGGAATAGGTGGAAGTCAGAAGGGGCGACATATGGGGAATACGGCGGGTGGGGCAAGACTTCCCATTTCAGCGTTTCCAGGTACTTTTTGACCACACGTGAGGCCGAGCATTGTCGTGTTGGAGGATGACTTTTTCATGTCGCTCTTGATATTGTGGCCGCTTTTCTTTTAGCGCGCGACTAAGGCGTATCAGTTGCGTTCGGTAGCGTTCTCCTGTGATGGTTTCACCCGGCTTTAAGAGCTCGTAGTAAATCTTTGAAGGTTTTTTCTCTTCCACCACCATGTTTGTCTTCGACATCGAAATCACCATTTTTAAAACGTTGAAACCACTCCCGACACGTTCTTTCACTGAGAGCAGCATCACCGTAAGTTTCTGCGAGCATTCGATCCGCTGCAGCTGCATTTTTTGTCTCGAATTGTAACAGAAAAGTAAAACTTCTCGCAAATGGCGAGAATTAGGCGCATAAACGGACACTTTCGAGCGTGAATAATACGAAAACAAGAACAACTGTCACTGAAACGGCGATGACAATTCATTAGGCACTGTCCACACTCATTTTAAAGGCATTATC